GAACACTCCATCCAAACATAAAGAATATACCTCCTTCTCAGCTCCACACGGAACCTTCTCAAAAATCGACCACATACTTGGCAACATAGCAAACCTCAACAGGTACAAAAAATTTGGAATAACTCCATGTATCTTCTGAGACCATCATGCTTTAAAGTTAGAATTCAACAATAACACAAACCGCAGAAACCCTGCAAACTCATGGAAATTGAATAATATACTATTGCACCACTCCTGGGTCAAAGAAGAAATAAAAAGACTTCCTAGAATTCAATGAGAATGAAGACACAACATACGCAAACTTATGGAAAACTTTGAAAGCAGTGCTAAGAGGAAAGTTCATAGCACTAAGTGCCCACATGAAGAAACTGGAAAATAGTCACACTAGAGAATTAACAGCACAATTGAAAACTCTAGAACAAAAGGAAGCAAACTCACCCCAGAGGAGCAGACGCCAAGAAATAATTAAATTGAGGGCTGAAATCAATAAAGTAGAAACTAGGAAAACGATACAAAGAATCAATGTAACAGAGTTGGTTCTTCCAGAAAATCATCAAGATAGACAAACCTTTATCCAAACTTACCAAAAGGCAGAGTATGAACATGCAAATTAACAAAATCAGAAATGAAAAGGGAGACATAACAATAGACACTGAGGAAATGAAGAGAATCATCAGGTCATATTTTGAAAAGCTGTACTATACAAAATTTGAAAATTTAAAGGAAATGGACAATTTTCTGGATAAATATCACTTACCAAAATTAAAAGAACAGATAAGCAATTTAAATAGTCCTATAACACCTAAGGAAATAGAAACAGTCATCAAAAGTCTCCCAACCAAAAAAAGCCCTGGGCCAGATGGCTTCAGTGTAGAATTTTACCAGAAATTCAAAGAACAGGTTATACCAATTCTCCTCAATGTATTCCATGCAATAGAAGCAGAAGGGTCTTTGCCAAACTCTTTTTATGAGGCTTCAATAACATTGATACCCAAGCCACACAAAGACACAACTAAGAAAGAGAACTTCAGACCAATATCCCTCATGAACATTGATGCAAAAATACTCAATAAAATAATGGTAAATCAGATCTAAGAACACATCAGAAACCTCATCCACCATGATCAAGTAGGCTTCATTCTAGGGATGCAGGGATGGTTCAACATATGAAAATCCATCAATGTGATCCACCATATAAACAAGCTGAGAAACAAAAATCACATGATCATCTCACTAGCTGCTGAAAAAGCCTTTGATAAAATCCAACAACCCTTCATGATAAAGGTCTTGGAGAGATCCGGGATAACAGGTACATGCCTAAACATCATAAAAGCTATATACAGCAAACCAACAACCAACATCAAACTGAATGGAGAGAAACTCAAGGCACTTCCTGTAAGATCAGGAACAAGGCAAGGCTGTCCCCTCTCCCCATATCTCTTCAATATTGTACTGGAAGTTCTAGCTAGAGCAATAAGACAACAAAAGGAGATCAAGGGGATACAAATTGGAAAGGAAGAGGTAAAACTTTCACTATTTGCAGATGGTATAATAGTTTACATAAGTGACCCAAAAAACTCTACCAGGGAACTCTTGGAGCTGATAAACACCTTCAACAATGTGGCAGGATACAAGATCAACTCAAGAAAATCAGTAGCCCTACTATATACAGACAATAAAAGGGCTGAGAAAAATCAGAGAATCATCACCCTTTACAATTGCTGCAAACAACATAAAATACCTGGGGGTAACGCTAACCAAACAAGGGAAAGACCTGTATCGAAAGAACTTTGAGTCTTTAAAGAAATAAATTAAAGAAGACACCAGGAAATGGAAAGATCCCCCATGCTCTTGGATAGGTAGGATCAATGTAGTAAAAATGGCAATCCTGCCAAGAGCAATCTACAGACTCAATTCATTAAAATACCAGCACAATTCTTCACAGACCTTGAAAGAATAATTCTCAACTTTATATGGAAAAACAAAAAACCCAGGATAGCCAAGACAACACTGCTCAACAAAGCAATGTCTGGAGGCATCATCATCCCTGACTTCAAGCTCTGTTATAGAGCTATAGTCCTGAAAACAGCTTGGTATTGGCACAAAAAAAGACAGGTAGACCAATGGAATCGAATTGAAAACCCTGAGATTAGTCCACAAACCTATGAACAGCTGATTTTCGACAAAGAAGCTAAAATTATGCAATGGAAAAAAAAGATAGCATCTTCAAAAAATGGTGCTGGCATAACTGGATATTGGCCTGTAGAAGACTGCAGATAGATCCATGTCTATCGCCATGCACAAAACTTAAGTCTAAGTGGATCAAAGACCTCAACATAAATCCAGCCACATTGAATCTCTTTGAAGAGAGGTTGGTACAGGAGACAGCTTCCTGAACATAACTCCAGTAGCACAAACACTGAGACTGACAATTAATAAATGGGACCTCCTGAAATAGAGAAGCTTCTATAAGGCAAAGGACACAGCAAGACAAAAAGGCACCCCACAGATTGGGAAAAGATATTCACTAACCCCACATCTGACAGAGGACTGATCTCCAAAATTTGCAAAGAACTCAAGAAGCAAGCCTCCAAAACACCAAAGGATCCAATTAAAAAGTGGGAGACTGAACTAAATAGAGAATTCTCAATTGAGGAGTATAAAATGGCTGAGAGACACTTGAGAAAGTGCTCAACATCACTAGCCATTAGGGAAATGCAAATCAAAACAACTCTGAGATATCATCTTACTCCTGTCAGAATGGCGAAAATCAAAAACACCAATGACAGTTTGTGCTGGAGAGGATGTGGAGCAAGGGAACACTCCTCCACTGCTGGTGGGAGTGCAAACTTTACAACAACTTTGGAAATCAGTATGGAGATTCCTCAGGAAAATGGGAATCAGTCTACCACAAGATCCAGCAATTCCACTCTTAGGCATATAACCCAAAGACTCCCATTCACACAACAAGGATGTCTGTTCCACTATTTTCATAGCAGTATTATATGTAATAGCTAGATCCTGGAAGCAACCTAGATGCCCCACAACTGAAGAGTGGATAGAGAAAGTGGTACATTTACACAATGGAGTACTACTCAGCGGAGAAAAACAATGGAATCTTGAAATTTGCAGGCAAATGGATGGCACTAGAGGAAACCATCCTGAGTGAGGTAACCCAGACACAAAAAGACAAACATGGTATGTACTCACTCATATATAGATTTTAGATATGGATCAGGGGAGTGTCAGCCTACAATCCCAGTGCCAGTGAGTCTGGGAAACAAGGAGGTTCCCAAGAGAGATGAATGATACCCCAGAGAAGTGGAATGAGGCAAGATCTCCTGAACAGATAGGGGAGGGGAGAGGGAGCCAGGAAAAAGAGAGGGAGATAAGAGGAGGGGAGAAGGTATGGGGAAGCAGGAAGGTTGAGTCAAGGTAAGAATAGAGGAGAGCAGGATGAGAGATACCATAATAGATCGAGTCATTATAGGCTTGAAGAGCGAGCTGACTCTAGTGAGATTTCCAGAGATCTACAAGGATAATACCAACTGGCAAACTAAACAATAGTGGAGAGGCTACACTAATAGCTCCTCCTTGATGATAGGGTTGATGACTATCCTATATGCTATCCTAGAACCTTCATCTAGGGATTGATGGAAGCAGAGACAGATACCCACAGCTAAACACTGATCTGAACTCCTGGAACCTAGTGACAGAGAGGGAGGAGTGATGAGCAAAGGGGTCAAGACCATGATGATGAAACCCACAAAGACAGCCGACCGGATAAGGGGGAGCTCTTGAATCCCAGACTGATGGCTGAGATGCCAACAGGGGCCTTATCCAGACTCCATGAATGTAGTGCCAGGGAGGAGGCCACAGAAATCACTGGGGCCTTGGGTAGTAGATCAGTGTTTACCATGGTTTATGAGTGATCTTTGGGAGCCCATTTCAAATAGAGGGATGCTCTCTCAGCCTGGACACATGGGGAAGGGCCTAGGTCCTGCCCAGGATGAAATGACAGACTTTAGAGATCTCCCCCAAGGAGGGTCTCATCCTCCCTGGGGAATGATGTGGGGATTGGGTGGGGGGCTGGTGGAGGGAATAGGGAGGGGGGTGGGAGGAGTTGGAACTGACATGTGAAACATTCACGTTTCTAATTTAAATAAAAACATGTATTGAGAAAAAATACAATCTTTTTTTGTTTTTTTTTGGTTTTACGAGACAGGGTTTCTCTATATTATTTTCGAGGCTGTCGGCCCAGCCTGGCCTTGAACTCACAGAGATCCGCCTACCTCTGCCTCCCGAGTGGTTCTGGGATTAAAGGTGTGCACCACCACTGCCCGGCACAATCTTTAAAATGATTTTTGTTTTTTGTGCATTGGTGTTTTCCTGCACCTGTGTCTGTATGAGGGTCTCAGATCCCCAGGAACTGGAATTACAGACAGTTGTGAGCTGCCACGTGTTGGCAGTCTTCCTCTAACGCGCTCCTCCCAAGGCAGGGTCTCAAGTGAATCCAGAGCTAGCATTTGACCTAGGGGTCTCATCCCAGCCCTCATTGCTTCTGGTACCCTTCCCCAGGCCACTGTTTACCACTACTGTTCATTTAGAGACTAGGAAAATCAGCGTGAAACTCTACCACATTGGTACCTGCTCCCCAGGGTCTCTGCTCAGCAGACATCTGGAAAGAAACCAAATCTAACTTTCAGACCACGAATGCCATTCCTTTAAGATTTCCTTCTGTTCTTCAGTGTGTGACCACCCCCCACACGCACACTTCACACGGCTTGTGCTGGGATCTTGCTGTTGTAAGGTGGTGTTTGGAGCTTCCAACATCTTTCACTCTTCTTCCCAAGTGCTTGTATTTGACAACAGTCTAGTGTATCTAGTGTAAGCACTACACATTTGCCTCGTGTCTTTACACTTAGCTTGTCATGTAATTTGATCAATCAGTTATTTAATAAAAAGGAAAACCCTCCAAAATTCAAGACACATTTGACATATGGATTTTACAACGGAGTTTATTAGCTGTTCTCCTCTTTCTCATAAGTGGAATGGATAATGGTGGTAATTCTTTACAAACCAGTACTCATTTAAGAAATTTTAACAACGTTGCCAAAAACCACATATTGAATAAACAATTCCAAAGAGCAATGGGAGGGCAAATGATACTAATAACAGACTAGAGAAACGGACTCTGAAGGCCTTCGGCCTCTCCTAAGATTGAAGAAGCTTGCTGTAAAGACCTGTGCAATTGCAGTACAGTGCAGCTACGTGAGACAGTGTCTGGGGAAGCCTCCAAAGCGGATTCTGTTTTTCCATTAATGAAATGAGAACTAAAAGGAAGGTGGAGGACCTAAATCAAACTCCATGACAAGAACACAACACTGAGAGAAAAGTTAGGAACCTTCTGGAATTGTGTAGGAAAGAGGAGAACATGCTCACACGTCTACTTGCAATCTAGTTTCCCTAGAGGCTTTTCCTCACCATCACCATACACTTGGTTTCAGTTCACATGATTAAGGAAGATAAGTCTCATCAATTAATATTTAATTTAAAAACCAAAAAAAAGTTAGAAGTAGGTGGCAAAAGAAAAATATATTTTAAATATATATATATGTGTGTGCAACTATGTAAAGAAAATAATTCCCATAGTTACAGAGTTTAGTTAAAGAAAGTTTTATATATATTTATATATATTTTATTATAACAAAATAGGCAGTTATTGTGGGTAAAATAGTCATTAAAATCTGCCCCCTCCCTAAGCACACAGTAAAATTTTAGGCTATGAACTGGACACCTTCCCACCGCCATGACTGCCACAGGAACGTTCTTGTCCGCAGTTGTCAGTGAAGGTGAGCCCCCAGCATCTCAACAGAGCCATCATCAGAAAGAGTGTACGCAACTCCTGAGAGGTACCAAAACCGGGCTGCACGAGCTGACTAAAAGCACTCAATGCCGTTATCCTAGAAGTGTACTGGGAAGGGCTCACACAACGAGGATCTATCATGAACAACAAATAGACCTCCTGAAATTATGGGTTAACTTATACATTAATTTTGAGATAAAACCCCTATTTTTCTTATTTGTCTTTAATGGAATAATTACTTTAATACCAGAAGTCATTGAGGGAAGAACTTGAGAGCTAATACACTGGCCAAACCATGCTATTAGAGTTAAGCGTGCATTGTTGCTCAGGGTCCACCGAGTCACTGATTAAAACACCTTTCTTTCATTTGTACTGAAATTGGAAAAGAATGTATATAAGGCTTTTCTGAAAATCTCTTAAAGTTAACTTTCCCTTAAACATTAAGGAATTTCACAATTTTGCATCTCCCCAAACCCTTGATAGCTGGTCAGGCCATTCATCTTCAGTTCTGAAAAATGGCCGGAAACCAATAGTAACACAGAATAACACAGATGATGCAACATGAAGGAGACACTAGATGTCAAAATGGGCACAACTGCCGACCATGAGGGGATCTGAGGCAATGTGGAGGGAGCACTGAAGACAGACTCCAGGACAGGTCAGAGAAATGAGACAGGAAAAAAGACAGAAAAGCCAGTCTTCATAACTTCTCTTTTGCTGGGACCCAAATATAAGGGCCAGACTGTTCTTCTATGACCTGCTTCACTTGGTTGTAAATGTCCTCCAGCGTGTCTCCCTGCACAATAGCTGTAATGACAAAGTCAACAAGTGCCCGTTAGTTGTCTTTCTTTGCCATCAACAAACATTACTGGTGAAACGGGAGAAGGCAAACCTTGGAGGCAGTTGTACACAAGGATGTCCTACTTGTTTGTCAAATTGTCAGTTAGCTAATTTTACTATGTGTACAACACACACAAAAATGACTAAACTGAGACACAGCCACTCTGTTTTTGGCTTTTGCTTACTGTTTAGTTTGTGGGTCATCTGCACTTGAATTAGCTCACTCACTCAACTCATCTGGTGATGCTGGGGACTGAACCCAGGGCCTTGTACAGCTAACCATATGCTGTATCTCTGATTTATGCCCTGCAGGCACTAGTTTTATTATCTTAATACAAAGTATTTATTTCCTCAACTTGTGGGAACTACGAAAAGCAAGCACAGCTACTTATTTGCTGGTGACAGGTAGTATGTCAGGAAAGACGCTGACCATGGATTGTGTGCTCTGTTGAAGTTAAGAAGTATGCCAGGTACTCACAAATAGGGGCTGATATACATAAGTTGGGTCTTAGTAGTTAAAAACTTCTAAAATCAATGTTAGGAAATAAAGTGTGAATGAAAAATGGCAACACAAGCATGTGCCATAGTGCATGTCTTTAATTTCACAACCTGAAAGGCAGAGCAGCAGGGGGATTGTAAACTGTAGGTCAGCAGGGACTACACAACTCAATCCTGTCTCAAAAAACACAAATAATGACAACAACAACAACAACGACAAAAGGTAGCAATTACTAAGAACTAATGATTTGGATAGTTGGAGCCCCTAGTCTGTAAGAATCAACGGTTAGTTAATAAAACTAAAACGGTGAGTGTATGGAGTCAGGCAGGTGGCTCACAGAGACTAACCCAGCACTCAGGAGCCCACATGGGCTAGCACCAAGTGTGAGCAGGTGTAAGGAAAACAGTGTTTAGTTTCCTATGGCCTGAGACATCTGGCATAAAAGCTGAATGGAGATGCTAGGTAAAACTGTCTGTGTGTCTGGTGAATGAGGTTAAGTATACCATAAGGAGGAACATCTATGTGCATGAGGAGCTTCTAAGTAGTTAAGAATGTTTGAGAAATCAAGTTTATTTTAAGTTTTATAATGCTTGTATTAGTTTTGTGATCAAAGTCTGCATTCTGAGCTACACAGAGGTATCCTTCCTGTAATATCTGTGAAGACACAGACATTTGGCAAACATCAGTTTCACCTTGACTGCCTCACAGTGCTCCCCGGGACAGGCCCACAGTAGAAGACAGCTGCTGAGGAATTATTGCCTTGGGAAACATACAAACTTTGCTCACTGGATAAGTCAGGGTTCTCCCTGGGTGGGTTGAAAAATTGAAGAGGCCAAGGTCACAGACACTGCAGCTGTTACCATGGAAACCATCATCACTAGGAGCAGTCCAAAATGGCATCCCAAGCACGGTACTGTGCAGAGATCACAGCGTCACTATTTTGACATGCCTGCCAACTCACAGCCCACATCTAAGGAGATTCCACAAAAGGACTGGCTTTCACTCCTAAAGAATGTCACAGTTATGATGGATGGTCTAGATTAAAGTAGACCAAGTACATGTGATAGCTTAATGCAATATGTGTTCCTGAATGATTGTTTTGTTCATTTTACTCTCATAACTGCTAATACCTAGGAAAGTCTGCATTGAAAGATGAGACTATTAATGTTAAATTTCCCGTGTTTGATTAGCAGCATTCTCACTATATGATGGATAGAAGATACCCAAATATCCTTTTATTTATTTTTTTGAAACACTGACATACTCAAAAGTAAAGGACATCTATTTGTAACTTACTCAGATTTTTAGAGCTAAAATGATAACATTTGGAAAATATGGATAAAGGGCATGAGTTGTTCTTATACTAATATTCTTATGGTTTCTAAGTCTGGAATAAAAAAAAAAACAACAGAGCTCCTCCCTTCAGCACATGGCTTATGATATCAGAGCACCTGCTGGAACTCATGTCATCATTAGTTTACATGAGGTCAGGGAAGGTAGCAAATGTGGAAGGGTCACTTGAGTCTAGGAGTTCAAGGCCACCCTGGGCAACCCCGATAGACTAGCAAGCATGAGCTGTTATTACAGCAGTGGGCTAGTTGCTATCAGAGTGGGCAGTTCATTCAGTCCCCTCTAGCTGTCTTGTAGCCTGTGTGCTTGTTGTCCTTCTGTAGGTCATACAGTAAGAAGGCACTCAAAACTGCCATTCCTTTTATCTTGGAATTCCCAGTCCTCCCAACTGTCAGCTAAAACATTCCAGCTTCTATCCAGTCTACAGTATACTGCTATAGTAGCAGAAAACACACACTCCAACAATCTCATTTCTAGGTATATATCCAAATGAAAAGAAATCAGTACATCAAAGAAACATCTGCAATTCTTTGTTAAACTCAATATTCAAAACAGACAAAATAATGAAAATCACCTAATTGTCAGCAAAGAAAATGTGAGGTGTATCTAAATATATATAATGAGAATATTATTCAGTCATAAAAAGAAGGAATCCTGTCATTTTTGACAACAAGAGTGAATATACAAGACATTAAGGTAAATTAAATAAACTAGACACACAAAAATAAATTCTACATGGCCTCATTTGCCTGTGGAATCTAATCTGATTCACAGGTATAAGGAGTACAGTGGTGGGTCCCAGACATGGGGGAGGGGCTGGAATAAGAAGATGTTGATAAAAGGATATAAGCTTCTGTTTTCAGGAGAGAATGTGGTGTTTGGGCATAGTCCAGGGACAGTGCTTGCCTAGCTATGCAAGGCTACAGCACTGGAAAAACCAAGACCCTCAAAAGACAGTTTTTGGGTACCTAATGCACAGCACAGTGACTAAACAATAAAAAGTAGATCTCAAGTGACCTCAGCAACATACATCACTACACATCAGGAAGTGCAGTAACACGTACTTCCATAGCTGCAGTAATGAACTTAAAAAAGTATACAATATTACACTGTACACCCTGAATACCTCTGAAATCTTACCTCAGTAAGCCTGGGGAGGATGGATCAAAATTTACTAAGGGTAACAGAAAAGGCAGAGGCCTCAGAGAAGAGTGAAATTAACTCTGTTTTCCTCTGGTCAATTGTGAATTATTCCTGTAAGAACACTGCATTTCAAGGTTCCCCATTACCAGCTAGGCTAACTTTTAAGTTTCCCATGGGACAAACCCCACAGATATCATAGTTTATTCTGAAAACTACAGGACTAGTTAGATATAGCAAAATTCCCTGTGTCATAAAGGGCGCTGCCACACATGGCTCAAACCTGTGAAATGCTCGGTGAACTCCTGCTCCAGCTTCATGGCTCTCTCAAATGTTCTTCTGGCTTGTTCTTCCGTTAGGCGCTTATTCATTTCCCTGTGCAAATAAATTTAGAAATTGTGATGACCACATTATCATACACTTTGAAAAGCAATGAGAGAAGACATAAAAGGCATAAAATAATGAGAAGTTCAACTCTGCAAATGCAGTCCCTAGGCCTGCTGCCTGACACACACAGTGAGAACAGGGGCATGGCACTTCCTATCCTAGATCACAGCAACAATGCATCATCTCTAACAATTCTCACTGTGCACTTCATATGAAAACGAGACTCCCAGACCTATATTCCAACCCAGACTGTAAATGAACACAATACAACAGTTTGAAGAACCACTGTGAAATCACCTAGATTCTTTGCTGATTAAAGTGTAGTGGAATGAGAAAGAAAAAAAAGAAGGAAGGCTATATATTAAAAGTTGAATTATCTGTCATGAGTAAACTTTATTTAGAACTTGGCTAGAGAAAAAAACTGCAAACACGTAAGACACAAGAAAACCTGACTACATGATATTAAAATATTATTAGTTAAATGACATATTCACAGTAATTACCTTTCAAATATATGAAATGATAATATGACACTTATTTCAAAATCACCTGAGGGTGTGTGGACAGCACAGTAAAACAAGCATGCTGTGAGTCTCCCTGCGGCTGCGTGGTGGGACGCCTGTGAGAGGAAGCTTTGGCTATCTCTGCATTGCTCTGTGTGGCTACCACACAGTGTCCTTCCAAACTTCAGATCCTCTGAACATTTCTTCTGGGTAGGTGCAATGATGAGCTGGTGATTTTGTTTATCTGAGATCATCTTAATTTCTGCCTTATTTCTAAAGCATTTTATTGTCTTGCGTGTCACGTACATAGGCATATGTACTATGGCACCCATTTGGAGGTGAGGACAACTTTGTGGTGGTGTTACTCTCTCCTTGCCTTCACCTGAGTTTTAGGGATCCAATGCAGCAAGCTCCTCCCCTCATTCTTGTGAGTATAGGATTCTTGACTGACAGGCTTTATCTCCACATGTTTTCAATGCACTGAGAGGAATTCTGCAGATAATCTTACTGGGAAGATCTGGATGTGGTGAGTCATTTCTTATGCTGTGCCCATCACTGTCTTCCAACAGTCTGGTTATAAGGTGCCTATCAGTACCTTACTTTTCTTATGCTTGGACTTAATCTAACATCTTGGATACTAAATTCAGGACTTTTAAATAAAATCTGGGAAGTTTCTTCAAATAAACTCTCTGTTCCCTGCTCCCATTTTGGGAATCATAATGTATGTTGGTCTATTCAATGGTGTCTCCCAGTTGAAGCTCTGCTAACTTTTCTCTAATGTTTTTCTTTTTGTTTCTCAGACTTGAACATTTCCATTGTTCTATCTTTAAGTTTGATGAGTCTTCTGCCTGCTCAAATTTGCCTCTGAATCTCTCTAGTAAAATTACTTCAGTAACCTTTTTTTTAATTTTTCAGTTTCAGATCTTAAAAAAAAGCTTTTATTTTCAATTATGTGTGCATCTTTGTGAGTGTGAATGCAGTGTCTGTGGAGGCCTGAAGAGGATTTTGCCTCCTCTAGCTGGAGTTATAGGCGGTTGTAAACTGCCTAAGGTGGGTCCTGGGAACCCAAGTTGCACCCTCTCCAAGAGTAGTCCATGTTCTTACAGGGGCTAGTAGTCGCTAGCCCCCAGAACTTCAAGTTTTCTCTTACTGATATCTCCAACTTGCTCAGATATAGTTTTCTTGACTTTGACCTTGTCTTTTATGTATCTTTAAGGCATTATAAATATCATATAACATAAGAGCAGACAGATACTATGGGGACGAAGAGGGGGACAACAGAAGTGAACACAGGTGAGTATGAGCACTGAATGACATATTCATGAGAATGTTATATAGAAACCCATTATTTTTTATTTACAAACAATAAATTGCAGTAGTCCTTTTACAGTCTGTAGTAAGTATGACATCTGGTCTGTCTCCAGGTATTTTATCTTTTCCTTCGAAAGATCATTCTTTGCTATTTCTTTGTATACTTTATTTTTAGTTAAATTTTATATTTGGATCTATGAGTCAGTAAGACTAGAGACTAATTTTTGCTGTCTTATTTGAAATTTAATTATTAATTGTAGAGTGTTTCTATGCTGAGGCAGACTGATATAAACCGAAGATTTTTTCTCAGGAATTTTCTGATACTGTGCGTTTCCATGGCCATGTACAATATATCTCTAAATTCCACCCACACATTTGACTACTTTCAAATGTACTGGGCTGGCTACCAAAATAAAAAAAAGACAAAGTCAAGGAGATAGGGGGCAGGTCTGGGGAAAGGCTCTGAAACTACTTTATAACCAGGGGATGACTTACTATATTTCTAAGTTAGAAATAGCAACCAGCTAGTCCGGCAGTCCCTTGTCCATGGAAGATAGGGTCTTTGCTGTGCCCTTTGCTCCTACAAACTGCATGCAGACTGCTGAAGAAATGCATGCATGGCTGCAAACTGCATGCAGACTGCTGCTGAAGAAATACAGGTATGGCTGCTTGCTATGCGGCTAAAAAGAAAAGTATGTAGAGCTGAAGCCAAGCTGAGAGCTGAAATTAACCTTTTATACCAACGATAGGAAGCTGTTTGGTTTCAAAAGATTTCAAAGTTCTAAAATAGGTTGAACAGAGTCTGCCAGTGAAACCATTGTATATGTGGGAGCAATGGATTGCTTTTGCAATCCATCACTATTCGGAGAGCTTCTTTGGTGACAAGTCCAGTCCATTTACTGTGTTCACACACCCCCCCACCTGCTTTGTTTATGACAAGTGCTCTACTCTAGACCTTTAGTGCCCTGATGGATTTTTAAATATTAAACCAGCTTTACACTCTAGGAACAAGCTCTGCTTGGTCATACTTTATTAGGTCTAAGACCATATAAGATTGTCTTGTTCTTTTCTTGTTAACATTTTCTAAGAGTGACTTTAAAAAGTGTAGTATCTTAAATGTACAGCTTGACAAACTGTCATAAACCTATACACCCAGTAAGTACTCAGGTCCAATACAGAGCATCACCAGTGCTCTGGAACTCAAGTATGACATCCTCAAAGGTAAGGTATATTTGGTATTTGCAAACAATGATTAAACCTGGAATTTCAGAGTGTGCAAACTTGAGATCTTTTATTAACATTGTAAGATTCAAGCAGGGCAGTAGTGGCACACGCCTTTAATCCCAGCACTTGGGAGGCAGAAGCAGGTGGATCTCTATGAGTTTGAGACCAGCCTGGTCTGTTCCAGGACAATCTCCAAAGTCACAGAGAAACCCTGTCTCGAAAACAAACAAACAAACAAAAATCCAAAAGCAAAACGAAAAACCCCCAAACCCAAAAATAACCCTAAAAAAACAAAAGAGAAAACATTGAAAGATTCTCCTATGTTAGGCTGGAGAGATGGCTCAGAGGTTAAGAGGTCCTGAGTTCAGTTCCCAGCACCCACATGGTGGTTCACAACCATCTATAATGAGATTTGGTGCCCTCTTCGGTTGTGTAGGCACACATGCCAGAACACTGTATACACAATAAATAAATAAAGTGTAAACAAAGATTCTCCTACGTATTTGTACTTAGTTGGAGACTGCTCATGTTTATTTTTGCACAATGTTTCATCATGAAATGTCATAATTGATGTATTTGGCTGATGGTAGTCATTTAGGTAGTTTCTACATGTTGGCTATTTGGATAGCACTTTTGTTGGCAAGCAAATATGTCTGGTTAACACAAGCAATCATTTCTGTTGTTATTTATCTAGGAAAGAGAGTTCTAGTCTAATCATAAATTCTGCATGTCAACCTTTTGAAGCTATTGTAAATTTATCAATGTAGATTCACCAAGTAACCTTTAAGAGACTGTGAGGTATTTTCAGATGATCCATAAATCTGTCAAATCTGTGCTACCTTTTTCTATTCTCGCTACCCTGAAGTGCAGGCGGTAACATATGACATCATGGCTGTCACTTAAGAGCCAGGGCCATGCTGAGTGTGTGCTGTCTGGAGGTCCTTTTAGTGTTCTGTCCAAGGCCTGATTTTTTGGGGCACCTGTGTTGAGCTGTGACGACCACTGATATACACTGATGACCTTTTCATCCTGGTTAATATCAGAATGACTGACTTTTTCATCTCTCTGTCTGTCTGTCTGTCTGTCTGTCTGTCTGTCTGTCTGTCTGTCTGTCTCTGGTTTCTCAAGACAGGGCTTCTCTGTGTGGCTTTGGGGGCGGTCCTGGAACTCACTCTATAGACCAGGCTGGCCTTGAACTCACAGACATCTGCCTGCCTCCGCCTCCGAGTGCTGGGATTAAAGGCATGCACTACCAACACCTGGTCTGTTTACTGTATTTTCAAAGAACATCTTTCTATTGATCTTCTCTGTTAAATGCTGACTTCCTATTTCATTAATTTCTCTTTTGCCTTCTTTGAATTTAATGGCTGACTTCCAACTATAGCTTATGCTTTCTGAAACAGTGTCTATCTTACTCTGTAGCCCAGGCTGATCTTGGATTTTCAGCAGCCCCCCTGAGTTCCTCAGTGCTGAGATTGGGTGTTTGCCAACACACCTGATGTTTGGTTTCTTCTACTACAGCATTTATAGGCTGTGTAATCTCCTTCAGCAAAGATATGACATTAAGATTGTCAACTTTTATATGTAGTTCAAAACATTTATTAATTTTCTGGGATTTCTTTTTTAACCTATTCAGAGGTATTAATGGTCAGTTTTTACATACAGGCATTTGAGTCATATGGGAATATGTGTGCTCCTGTGTGTTGCTCAGGGAGCAACTTGCAGGAGTCCTTCTGCTATGTGGGTCCTGGGAATAGAACTCAGGTTGTCTGTCAGGCTTGGAAGAGAGTGCTTTACGGAGCCATCTCACTCTTCTGCCAGTTAAGGAGTAACCATCCTTCTGTCTAATGGTTGAATACAGTTGCATTGCCCATTTAATGATATGAATGATGATGATGATAAGAAATGATGGTTAGCATCCCACAACACCCTCTAGGATAGGCAAACATACTACTCTCTCCATTTCATAAGGAGAGAAAAAGATGCAAGGAGGAAAGATAAGTAACTCCTGACAACTTATCTACACTTAAAGGGAACACTGTGGGCACAACACTTACATGATATTTTCCATGGATTTGGGTTTGATAAAAATAGATATTGGGTAAAGTTGGGCAATCTGCAATCTTTTTATGGCATTTCCGGACACATCAAGGATACAATGTTTGCCCTAAAACAGAGACAATAAAGAAAAAACTAAATAAGTGAATCAAATCTTTTCAATTATACCGAAGGCATCCCCCACAAGTCACAATCTGAATTATGCTTCATTTAGATATTTTTTACTTCAAGAAAATTGTTATTTATCAGTAAAATTTAGAAGGGAAATTAAATGAAGAAAAAATGGTCATAAATAGTTACTTTTCTATTCTCAAAACCATTTGAAAGAATTAAAACACAGTTCTCACATCATTAGTTTTTACAGAGCAACAACTGTGGTGGAGAGGTGGTCAGCAGAAAGAGTACATTCTTGCAGAGGGTCTGAGTTTAGTCATGGGAGTTTATAGCCACCAGTCAAACTATAGTTTCAGGGGATCCAAAACCATCTTCTGGCCCCAATGGGCACCTGTATGTACTCACCTGTACACACACACACACACACACACACACACACACACACACACACACACACACACACACACACACACACACCCACCCACCCCCGGTAAAACATGTAAACAAATAATTCCAAAGCTCATTAATGAATTTCATTTCATAAAATGGCATGACAAATAGAAAGTGAAAAAGTCCTAGAATTCACACTCTTTCAAATCCTCACTACTCCCATTCCTTAACCACCAAGCCGTCTCTCTAGCCCTTTATTACCACTATCCTATTCTTCCAAGCCTCATTTTATTGGGGGCTAGAAAATACCATAAAGTGCTATTTGAAAAATCTAATTCTGACCGGGTGTTGGCGGCGTACGCCTTTAATCCCAGCACTTGGGAGGCAGAGGCAGGCAGATCTCTGTGAGTTCGAGGCCAGCCTGGCCTACAGAGCGAGTTCCAGGATAGCCTCCAAAACAATATAGGGAAACCCTGTATCGAAAAACCAAAAAAGAAACATCTAATTCTGGATTTACATAACTTTTCTGAGAATTCACTGACACAAAAGGTCATTTACATTTTCATTACGATGTGTATTTCTAAGTTACATAGGAAATGAATATTAAATAAATTTTATTGTGATATTTAAAATCAGGTCCTCAATCTCATGAAGTACCTTATAATTTAAAGGCTAGAGTTTATGTTCAAATAAATTTAATGGGCATATTTACAATAAAGTATTCAGGGTTCTTCCCTAATTGCTCTCCCCCTTGTCCCTTGACTGAAGTAGCTACTAATGATTTCACTTCCCAGTGGTGGGATTACAGGTGCACACATACCAACGGGCTTGCTTCATGTAGTATTGGGATCTGAAGTCAGGTGTTCTTGTTTGTGTAGCTAGAACCTTGCTGAGTGACCCCTGGGTTAGGTTACATGACACAATTAGTGCACAGGCTCAATGGACTATTAGAAGCGAGGCCTTGTTGGAGGAAGCAGCTGACTGGAAGGGACTCTGAAGGGATTTCCGGGTGCTTCTACTCACTCCTTTTGCTTCCTCTCATGGGCTGAACCCTCTGAGACCATGAACTAAAACAGATGCTTCCTGTTTTCCATCATGGTGACAGGAAACTAACATTCTGTCTTCACTCTCTCTCTCTCTCTCTTTTTTTTTTTTGGTTTTTACGAGACAGGGTTTCTCTGTATTGTTTTCGAGGCTGTCGGTCCGGCCTGGCCTCGAACTCACAGAGATCCGCCTGTCTCTGCCTCCCGAGTGCTGGGATTAAAGGCGTGTGCCACCACCGCCTGGCCCTGTCTTCACTCTCTTTAAACAGACATATTAGTTTTTGTGTAAATCCCAGGAATAGTATAACCCACAGATAGCAACATTTATTATCTGACCACAATATAATTCTAGCTGGTCATCTAATGCTCCTTATTGAACAACTAGAAGAACGTGCTGGCTGAGGTTCCAATTCAGGTTATGTATTGGGTTTACTTACAGTTGTCATCAGCTGGGCACAGTTTGTCACCCTTGTCATTCTAGATCTTGGTATTTTACTCACTACTTTGTGTAGTGCATGCAATGTAGGATGGTAGGGGCCAGAGTCTTGTGTCCTAGCTCTCAACCTTACTTCTTAAGGTAAGCTTTCTCCCTGAACCTGGGCTGGTTAGGCTACACTGAGAAAGTGTCATCCCTGAAGTTTTTAGTTACAAAGGCAAAGACAATTTTACCATGGACAAATTTTAAACAGAAAGAAGTTTTACATATTAGTAGGGTTAGATGTGATAATCCATACATGTACTGAGTTTGTATTCATCAATACAAGTTTTTATCCACTTTCCCCATCTGTTAGCTATTAGCCTACTTTTTTCTTTTCTTTTTTTTTTTTTGAGATTAGGTATTACTACACCACTGATGTTGGCATGAAACTCACTACAGTCCAGCCCAGCCTCAAGGTTATAATTCTTCTACTATGCTTCCTACTGACTGATTTGACAATGCTGAACTGACCTTGAAATCATTGGACAGAATGACTCAGTCATGATATAGTATCTTTTTGATATAGTCAACATATCATCTTGACTTCATTATAAAAATTGTTTTAACCTAATGTCAATATACAGTCAGAATATATTAGAGAATGTTTTAAAATAACTTCTTGTTGTCAGGAACCTTTAACCCCAGCACTCAGGAGGTGGAGGCGGAGGCAGGTGGATCTCTGCCTCCTGAGCACTGCAAGTCCGAGGCCAGTCTGATCTACAGAGTAAGTTCCAGGACAGCCAGGACTACACAGAAACCCTGTCTGGAAAAACCAACCAAATCAAAACCAAACCAAACAAAACAACAATAACAACAAAAAAAGCAAAAGCCAAACCAAAACCAAACAAAAGAAAAAACCCAAAACCTGTTAAATTGTTTCTGAATTTTTATTCTATCTTTGTAGACTTGGGAGACTTTTTTTGGCTCCTTCACTTAACAACTTACTCAGTTTTTCTCATGGACACTTGACTTCAGCCAGGACAAGGTCTGGCTCTAAAACAGTCCTTAAGATAACCATCTCTCATTTCACAGATGCATGTGATCATCCTATTTCCAGATTTTGACAGCCTTGTCATATGTATTTTTCTAAGCTACTCAAAATAAATATTTTACTTAGCTAATGCAGCATTATTAATTAGCAAGACCATCAAGGTTGTCATCTATCTTCTATTTCTTAATACAACTAAAAGTCAAAAGTGTGTGTCCTCCTTAGAAACTGCACTCAGGGAGCTCTGGTGCTTACCTTCTCTGCTACTGCTCGCACCGACTGAACGCTCGTTCCATACAGATGGTTGTTATACTGGCCAGCTTCAATGAACTTATGCTCCTGAATGTCCTTTTCCATCTGTTCCCTTGAAGTCACAAAATGATAATCTCTTCCATCCACCTCATAGTCACGCTTTGGTCTAGTTGTATCTTCAATAAAAAAGAACTTGGGGAAGTGTTTCATATTTAAAAACAGAATAAATACATCTGCTACTTAATTGATTGCTTTTTAAAAAGTTTAACACAATACTTTTAAATCTAAAAAAGAAAATAACATTGAGGATGAAGGAATAATTAATAAAACAATTAACTCTTTAAAGCAGTTATATTTACTTTTTGAAAACACAGTGACAGAAAGTGTTAGAACAGTTTAAATTTGGGTTACTCACGAGGGACGCAGGATCCAAATTTGTCGGGAAATTCTGAGATTAAATCATCATTTACCCTGTCTTTCATGGGTCCCAATATAATGACTGGTCGAGTATAATTAACTACAAAGATAAACACATGAAAAGGAATAAACACTTAACGAACACTAACATGTTTTAGCTCAGCAGAAGAAAACCATTCTGAAGAGTCTCTCCTTTGTTCTTTCTCTACATTATCTTCTTTTGTAAATAAATCATTGTTAAAATCTCTGAAGTCAACCAAGTCAAATTTAGCATCTTAGACATTTCAATATACAGAGAAAACAAAGCATGGTGTTTCCCTGGTGGTTTTTGATGTTAAAAACTAAATGGCAGTAGAACCATCTAGAAAGATGGTTCAGCAGAGAACACAGGGGGTCATCTGAAGAAGGAAGTCAGTGGTGAGCATCAGACTAGTATGGTGGTTGGAGGAATTAGATATAGTGAGGAATAAAAATGGCCTAGAACCCACCTGGGTGAAGGGGATAAAAATCTAGGAGTTTAAAAGTTTCTCTTGACATTTAAAAAGTGTTATTGCAAGGGTAGTAATGCAATATTATATAGGCTTAGGAATACAACACTGATAAAAACAATCAATATAAATTAACCAGTTGCTTCTAATATTTTGTGGGTTAAATATTGCTTCTTGAAATTCATATAGCAATTTTCTACATATATAGTTAAAAACAGTAAAATTCTGATACATTTTTTGCATCTAACAGTCTGATTTTTCAAACTAAGAAGTATATTCGATTTTATTTTAAATTAACCAATCAATTTATTGTAGTCAAGTTTTGTGTGTGAAATGGTGTGCATGTGTAGGTCAGAGGATAACTTGTGGGAGTTGCTTCTCTTTCCACCATGTCATTTCTAGGAATTGAACTGTCATCATGTCTGGCAGAAAGCACCCTTGTCCACCGAGCCAACTCACTGGCCCTGAATATACACTTTTTAATAAGGTCATACAACATTAATAAACTTCACAAACCTTCTTGTTGATTCACTGGCTCATACGATAAAACATATTCTTCTTGACCACCTATGGAGATTAAAGCAAGGGTAAGAAAATGAAGATAACTGATGCCAATGTGATCCTTCACACACATGATACTAGGACTTTCTGAGACGTGAACAGGATATACAAAAAGGTACTGTGTCATAAATTATCCACAGCAAGACTTAATACAAAGGAAAAATTATTAAACCATAAAGGCAGGTTTGATAAATATAAAATGAAACATTAATATACTATTTTTCCATTATGTGCTTTTATTTACAAATCATCAAATTATTAAAATCTTCATTACTTGCTGGAGATTTAATTTATTGGAATGCTGCCTGAGTTTGTTCTCCAGTACTACAAAAACAAAAACAAACAAAACAAAACTGCCTCCAAATAACAACCTCCCCATACCAAAAACCAAAAGCAACAAAAATCCCTTCCTCTGGAATACTGAACATTTACTATAAATATGTACTAGGGCTGGATGTGAGACTGCCTATAATTTCAGCACTTGAGTCTCAGGCAGGAGGATTGCCAGTCTGAGGTTAGTTTGGACTAAGAAGTGAGCCTCTGCCTCAAAAGAAACCAAAAACCAAAAACCAAAACCAAAAAAACAAACCAATAAGCCACAGAAAATAGTTTCTGTTCCAATTGAGTACATTTATCTAAAGTTATATTTGATTTTTAAAAACCATTATAATTTTGCTTTGGTTACAAAAGCACTTGAGAAGTTAAAGCATCTGAAATTTAAGTTAAAGGAGCTTTGCAAATATTATAAATGAAAAACAACTAACTATGTAAACTACATGAATACCATGAAAATAATTAAAAAGTCTAGCTTTAAACATATACTGTGGAAAACAAAACAGCTCCAGTGATTGGATGAAAGCAATGAAAACTGAATAATGTAATTTGGAAAATGTTCTCCTTCTTGTTCTGTAACAGTCTACTACCTTGTGATTGGTTTACAGAGAATCCATTACTACATGTGCAGTCGATGGCTTTATATATCTGTTATAGAGGCACACAGATCTGTACTTGTTTGTTTCCAATCTTACTATTGAAGTATCACAAAACAGATACTTCATGAGCTGCCCCCCACAATTACTGATGTATCTAGGCATGGTAGCACACAGATCTCTATTAGTTTGAAGCTAACCTGTTCTATGTAGAGAGTTCCAGGCTAACTAAGACTACACTTAGTGAGACCTTGTCTCAAAAACCAAAACAAAACAAGTTACTGATGTAAAATATGGTTACATACTACAAAAACATGCAGTTGAATATTCCAAAACTTAATAGTTCATGCAAATGGTGAGAAAAGACAGTATATACTTTCATTACCTCCTTTTAGTCTAGAAAACACACTCAACTACTCTACAGTAGGTTCCGGTTATAAATAAAGAAAGAAATAATTGCCCATTCTTCTCCTCAAATTACATAGCTATCATGTAGAAAAAAAATCCAATCAATGAATGAGGGTTAAAAGTATATATTGCCAACATGAAATATCGGGGACTGATAATGGGATTAACCTTTTGAGCAGCCATACTCATCTGTAATCAAGATTACTTTCATTTTAGACAGCAGTAAAAAAAGTTAGAAAAATAAATTTAATTTTTAAGTTGCTACAATTGATATTCACATACTCCCCTCTTTCCACACCCCAATTTGTCTTAAAAATCCATACTTACATATTTCAATTAACAACAAGAATATAACATTAAACAGCAAGGGAGAAATAGTATTACTTTTTGAGCAATGTTGCACAGAATAAAAAGGAAATAAACTAATGATCATTTAGCATTACTAATAAATATCCTTCTAGTACTTATGTTAGAAACAAAATTACTAAGGAAAATATAAGTTTATTCCCTAGCAGCTATTTACTTGTTATAAGATACACACAAATCTACATACTATGTACCATATATACAAATTAAGTTGGTAAATGGGTTTGCTTTCATTAAAACCTTGAAAATAACCGTTCTGTATGTGCACCTTGAGGACCCTAGCCAAAATGCTAGCAGCAAAAAAATTTCAGATTTTAGTTTTTTTTTTCAATTAAAAATATCTACACAGCCAACCCTGACTACGCAACTCAGAATGGAAAATTTTGAGAAATGAATGTTCTAAGATCTGAAACTTTAAGAGTCATACTGTTGATAAAGATTGTGAGCTTTGGGTTAGAGATCCTCAACCTTCAGGTGAACTTCTTTCTCATGTAAAATTACTATTTTACTTGGCTTTTCCCAGTTCAGCAATCTTAGGTATCTAACTTTTAGTTTTTATAGTTTTATAGTATATCACTAAGGACAGAGTTACTCAAAGGTATTTATTACTTTTTCTTTTTTTTTTAACAAAAGAACAATTAACATGAAACACTTACGGTAACTACTTTCACTATCGCTGGCATTAGAAGTGACATGCTCTGAAAGTGAAGGAAAACAAAAAGAAAAATAAAGAAACACAGTGTCATGAATTTAAAAGCTGATAAAAGCAAGCTATCAAAATTAAACAAGGTGGTATTATAAATGTTGATATAAACCATACGCAACTACAGAATTTTCACAAAGCATTTTAGATTTTCTATGAAAAAGTTAATTTTCCAACTAAATTAACACGAATTATTGTAGGGCAATACCTGTAGTAAAAGAAAATTTTGCCTTACTGTTTAAACATAGCTTATGAACAAAATTCAGCAAGAACCCAAGTAGAACATAGAACAGATACAATATAATCTTGAATCAATTCATAAGGCACCATACTATAAGATCCAAAAGGAGAAAATGAATTTGGTACCATTCAGTTTAGGAAAAACCAGTTAGGGGACGAGTTCCATTTGAATAAAGAGAGGCCACTTCTTGATGGAGCTTCTCCCCAGCTGAACCTCTCTTTAGATTTTAAACTGTCTCAGAGGTCACAAGGAAGGGAATTTGAGAGGCACTGAGTTTTAATAGGTCAGCATTTCATAGTAACTGTCCTTTGATAATAGACTACTTTGCAAGACAACTCCTCCAACAGATATTAGTAAAAAGCCACCCAGTCTTTGCTCAAAAATGGCCCCATTTCATAACTCGGTAAATATCTTTATATATTCCTTGATAAAACAATAAAAATTTTGTTTAGAAAAACAAGAGAGAAACTCTCAAGGCCAGAGGGAAACCTAATTTCTAATGTTAAGGAGTTTGAGGCTAAGGTCTGCTCAGGCAAATCAAGTAGTTCTGCTGCAAGGAGGACAGCAGACCTCACAAGAGTAAAAATAAACCTGTTCTCTTTAATTTGTAAAGAAAAAGATTAATTTTCCCAAGATTTTTTTTAAACATCAGGTGCCCATGCTTGTCTGACAAGCACTTTGCTGTCTGAGCGATCTCCAGCCTTACAGTATAAACCTTTCTTCATTATTAAAGGGCTTAAATTTTTTAAAACTAGAATCAGGGGAAGGGAGTCATTTTCTTCAGTGGTATGGTCACTGGTAACCTTGACTCATGCTCAAGGACCCTAATACTCAGTGGGCTGCAAAAGACCTGTGGGAAGGAGAAGGGTTCAGTTGGACCAGAGAGGATGGTGGAGGTGAAAATAACTAAAATTAGAGATGTAGGAGACTGTCAGTGAGTAAAACAGTAAAAATTGTATTATTTTTCCTATAAATTAAGAGACTTCAATAAAATAATTATACCTAAAAATCATGAGTAGAATTGATCAATACATGACAAGCACACATTAAAAATAGGTATTTTTAAGTGTCTATTAAAATCTTCCCTTTGCATGTGTACATATGTGCACTTTACATGTGGGTGTGGCTGCACATGCATGTGGAGGCCTGAGTGGATGTTGGCAGTCATCCTCAGTCACAGTTCCACCTTCTTCAGGGAGGCTGGTTTCTCCATCGAGCCCAGAGCTTACTAATACTGTTGGTTCACTTGCTATTTTGCTCCTTCTGGGAACCCATGCCTTTGCCTTCAGAGGCTGAAATTACAGGTGGGTTACTATACCCATTTACATGGGTCCTGGGGATTTGAACTCTGGTCCTTATAGCTGTAGGGGCAACTGTTCTCACCACTGAGCTATCTTTTCAGCTTCTCCCACTCCACTCCTTTTTTCTGTTACTACATGGACTTCAACACAATCATTGAAATTCCTGAATGATATTCGGTTTAACTTATACATTATAATTTACCATTCTTTAAACATTTCAATTTGCTTTAAAGTGTTTTTTTTTTAAAAATATTTTTGGGTTTGAACCTAGCCTTTAACAGCTGAGCCATCTCTCCAGTCCTAAACTGTTGTTTTATAACAGTAGTAATTTTAAATGTTTTCATTAACATATTTTTGCCTATCCTATCTCTAAATTTTTTTACAAGTAGGGATTGAATGCCAGATTAATAAACAAAACCCTCTGAAACCTGTATTAGGACTGCCATTACAATCTTTAATCTCCAAGTTGTAAAAGAAAGAAAAATTAGTTATCTACAGGACAAGAATAAGTGGGTGTGTAAGAGACAAAACTGATTAATGCTGGAAAGTATGAAGGGCTTACATTAACTATTCTACCCTTCAATCTGACAGACTCAGAATAAAAAGTTACTATTCTTCCTTTTTTACTTCATCTACTCACCCTGGAGGTATACTATCATAAACTCTGTGGGTTCTTTCATTTTCTGTACTTAGTTCCTCTATCATAAAACCTTGCTATTCTGAGTGTAGGCTTTGAACTAGGACAATCATTGGTATTGCTTGAGAACTAACCAGAAAGGTAAAGTGCCCCTCCTCTAAAAATAATCTGTTGGGGATGGACTGTAGCTCAGTGGTACAGCATTTGCTTAGCATGCAGGAAGAAGCACCTGGGCCCAAGCCCTTGCTCTGCCAAAATAAAAACTTGAACATAATTTGACAAGGAAAGTTAGACAGCTAATACATAGATTAAAATGTATTTAAATTTACTAACAACAAAACCAGACAAGCAGAGACAGGGACATAAGCAGTCAGAACTATCTACGGGGGTTAGGATTATGGGTAAAAACAGTCTGGAAAATTATTTGCCAGTACAGTCATCCCTAAATATCCACCAAAGATTGCTCCAGGACTCTAGAGGTAACTCAATTTGAGGATGTGAATGTCCCTTTCATAAAACTTGTAGGATTTGCATGTTATTTCCCACTTTTTCCTTTCCTTGCTAGACAGAGCCTCATGTTATCCAGGCTGCCCTATAACAGGTAGCTAAGTCTGACACTGAACGCCTTTTCACAGAGCCTATCCTCCCATAATCAGAGTGACATAGTTGTCTCCCATTTACATGAATCCATTTTGATTCTATAATACCCAATACAGTGCAGGTAATAGCTGTACTGTATTGTATTGTTCCGAGAGTGAGAAGGAAATTAAAGGCGATTTAATATACACCACTGGAGGCTGTGAAGTGAATATAGTAAATAAAAGTGCTCCAGAAAGACTGAGGATTGGTGAAATGCAGGAAGCTGCAGGAGGAGGATGCCAACACATCATTTCAGCACATTTAGTGCAGTGCTCCGAGTATGTGGCAAAGTCAAGCTTTATTTATTTATTTTTTAAGACAGGGTTTCTCCGTATTGCTTTGGAGCCTGACCTGGAACTTCATCTACAGACCAGGCTGGCCTTAAACTCACAGAGATCCACCTGGGATTAAAGGCACCACCGCCCAGCTGCTGCTCTTACAAATTCAAGTTTTATGCTTTGCAGATACCTGGTCTTTTCTCCCCAAATATTTATTGTGGAATATTACTTTAATTATGTAAAGATGAGTGACATTTGTTTATGCTGCATTTGTTTAATGAGTAAAGATGTGTTGCTTTGCCTACCTAAGGTACCTGATTGGTTTAATAAAAGGCTGAATGGCCAATAGCTAGGCAGCAGAGGGATAGGCAGGGCTGGTGGGCAGAGAGAATAAACAGGAGGAGGGAAGAGAGGGAGATGCCCAGGGCCAGCTATGCAGGCAGCTGTCGGTCACCCGGACACAGAGTAGGACATACAGAATGAAAGAAAAGGTGAAATGCCCGAGGCAAAACATAGATGAAGGGAAACAGGTTAAATTAAGTTATAAAAGCTAGCATGAAACAAGCCTAAGCTAAGGCCGAGCAATTATAACTAATAGTAAGTCTCTGTCTTCATTTGGCATCTGTTTGGGGCCCAGAGAAAGCCTGCTATATTTGGGCACTAAAATGCCGTTTTTACCTCAGTCACAGTGGCTGCACTTTAAACTACCAGTGGCTCTGCTGCTCAGGCCATAGGCTGAATGGTGCAGCTAAAGGTAGTTCTAACTAAATCTCTATAGCTCTAATAAAACTTGAGATTCAAAGGATGAAAACCTGTGAGATCACAGAGTTAAAGTAGTAACTGCCTAACTTTCTCTCTTAGATGGCATCCCCAGAAGCCATACCCTTCCACACTGCCCCAAACTAAAAGCAACAACATCAACAACAAAGAAAAACCCAGGCAAAGCTCCTCCCTGCTACTTCCTGTCGACTATGTGATAACCCCGCCTCTCTCTGAGCTCAGGTTAATTTTATTTATTTAACACAATGCATCATAAACAAAAATAACATCTTTACCTAGTTAAACAAACATTTCACAACAATTTTTAATCTGCAGTTTGTTCAATTCTTAGATAAGGAAACTGAATATGCAGAACCAATTTTGTAAAGCTAAACAAATATATATGACCTAAAAATTTCTCCCTCTCCTACATATTTTCCCCAAAGAAAGGCATATATCTGAATATCAAAAGACAAGGACAAGAATATTATTTCAGAGTGCCAAGCACATTCTGTTTGCATATCTGAAGTGTGTGGCTTCAATTTTACTTTCTTTTGTGCTGTGAGCATTTCCCATGTCATCTGTATGTAGACCAGGCTGATGCCAGGCTTGTGATGCTCTTGCTGTGCCCTCCCAGGGCTAGACTACAGACATGAGTGACCTGGTTCTTAAAGATTTTAATCGTCATATAATACTATAAATACAGATAAGTCATATTTCTAATCATTTCCAAATCAAGATAGGATGGCTTCAATCGTTTTTACTTTTTTTTTTGCTGTTACTTCTGAATAATGATAAGATTTATCTCCATCTCTAATTATATCCTGAGGATAATCTCCCTGAAAAGGATTTAATGGACCAAAAGAGAAAATGTTTGAGATAAGGCTGTATTAATTTGTATTTGTGATCACAATGCATTAAAAGCTACTCTTTAGAACTCTCTCCACCACAGAATGTGTCTTTAGGCAATGGATAAAAGGTATCACTTTGCATATGTTGACTACTGGGGAAATAGTATTATTACACACACTTTTTGTATCTGCTCATCTTCTGAGCTCTGCTGTGCTAGGGGCTGCACCTGTGGCGTCTCTCAAAGGTCCATAAAATAAAGATTTGGCCCTCAGCTTGGTATGATCAGGGTTAGACAGCCTAGCGTGCAGCTTTAGGTCACTGAGGGTGAGACGAGGGCAACAGGACTTTTTCTGTAATTCCTGGACCCATGAGGTGAACAGCTTAACCACCACACACATTCTCCAGTGATGTGCTATCTTCCCACATGCCTCCCAAATAACAGGGCCAAGTGATCATGGACTGAAACTTTCAAACTGAGTAAAAATGAACATTTGTCTTTAGGTTTTTGTTAGTACCGGAAAGTCGACACACTTGTCTCATTCCTTGTCCAGTTTTCTAGTGGATAGCCTGCTTCTTACTGATTCATAAATATCCTGTCCTTGATGCAAATATATTCAAGTCTAGGGCTGCTGTGGGGTACCTGTATAGCAAATTATAGGCCCCAGATGAGCTTCTTAAAATAAGAAAGTATTCCCTACGCTCCCCCTGGTGAACACTGTTATTTCAAATTTAACCACATTTTACCTGTCTTCTCAAACATGTTTATTCTCTCCAAATGCCACACTGCTAATCCCAAGCAACACTACTTGACATCTTATTTGGAACAACAGTAAGTCTGGCTTTGGCATTTGACAGCTGTGCACCACTTGGTTCCATCAGCTTTTAGAACAAGAAGAAAGTAGACAGATACAAGAAACCTATGTGGTTAGCTGAGGAGATTGTTGATTATTTTATAAAATTGAAAACCGTGAAAATAGAAAGGAAATAGAAAATGAAACCATTCTAGATAGGCAGAAATCCTTTCTGAAAATGTGTGTTATGATTCACTCCTGAGTGTCCCATCTATTGCCTATTGGGTTTTATCTTTAGTCTTATTTTGGTGTATTTTGAACTTTAGCATATAGGTTATCGAAGCCGTAAGTAATGCCCTAATGCACCCCCCTTCTTCCAGCTTTTTCTCTATAACAAGCAGCCTGTAATGCTTACATGTATGTTTTACAAGATACCCTCCTTCATCCCCAGTTTTAGAATTCTACTGGTATTTTTCTGTCACCTTCAGTATTTTCTGAATAAAACCTTGACCTTTAGGGTACCAAGTTAACAAATCCTTTCAATCCCTGTGAAATGAAGCAGATACTTATAATTAAATGAATTATAACACTGCTTAGAAAATTCAATCATTCCCCAAGTGATACTGCCTGATAATGTTATTTTTCAGAATTTTTTCTTAAGAAGTTTCAATTCCCAATTAGAGAGAGATACAGGGCAAGGGTATGCAATTAACGGTGTAAAATGTGGGAGCCATAATCATATATAGTAGCATCAGTGAGAGCCCAGTTCCTCACTTAGTTCTCTTTATTAAGAGTTTTCATAGGTCTCTGGTGCTTCAAGGAGATTCAAAAATTCCAAGTTGATCCATATACCCTCTAAAACGCATCAGCTTCAACATAAACCCCAGAGGTGATTCAGTAATCTGTGGAGATACTCTCCAGTTATTGAAGGTTTGCACTGGCAATCTTGCCAGAATGTAAAGAAGCTGCCACTGGTGACTGGAAATCTGTGGTGCCACCAAATCATATTTTTTAATTAAATTTTTTTGTACAATATATTTTGATCATGTTTTCCCTTTACCTCAACTCCTTCCAGGTCCTCTCCACCTCCCAACTAAGAAAACAAGCAGACATACAAAAGAGTGAGACACACCTAGAGCAGGTGTGCCCCGCAGGTGGAAGTACTTGATGTACCTAAGACATTAAGATCCAAGTAAAGCAAATTGCTAAAAGGTAAAATTCCACCACTAAAACTGTAAAGTTTAATATTAATTAATGATGTAGTTCTTGGAAGGCTAACTAGCTAAGTATCAATAAAACTACAAGTTTTCAAAATGCCCAGTAATTCAAATGAAATAAACAATTTAACAAAAAAAATGAGCTTGAATGATTATTTCTGAGTCATGGTCACCTAAATTTAATTTAGTAATATTAGGTGACTTATCATACTTCAGTGATTTGAAAACAGTCAAGTTAAAACAGCAATTCACTCTTACAGAGCAGTGATGATAAGCGTGTGCCACATGCTTGACTCTTATCCAAATATTTAGTAGATTCCTTCTACATATCAGAATCTGCTAACCTGTATTTTTTATTTTTTAAAGATTTATTTATGTATTTTATGTTTATGCGTTGTGTCTGTACATATGTCTACACACCAGAAAAAGGCATCAGATCCCATGGAACTACAGTTACAGACAGTTTTGAGCTGCGATGTCAGTGCTGGGAATTGAACCTGGGTCCTCTGGAAAAGCAACCAATGCTCTTAACTGCTGAATCATCTCTCCAAACCCTGCTAATCTTTCTATGATGACTAATTAGTTAGTAGACAGAAAGTTAAGAGCAGCAGCAGCAACAACAATAAATCAAAGAAAAAAATCTGGCTAAGGGAGGAACATTAATTACAGTATACTCTATACCGAGTCTTACAGCCTTAAGAAAGGAGGCTATTCAATTTCCCCTAGCCTGCTGCTTGAACTTGGTGTCTATCTTATACTTTCACAGTAAAGCAAGAGTTTTCTAACATATAACTGTAGTGGTTTAAACTTGTTTTAAAAAGGGAGACAAAACTCCAATGAGGTACACGTCAATATTCTATTAATATGGGCAGGTGGTATTATTTAAAAAGACTTTTAAAAAGAAGCCTACAGTTAAAATTTTTTTAGCAAAAGTAACTACCAGAAAAATTATAAAACTCAAAATGCAACTGAGTTTCTCAAGTAGTATGTAAAAAGGGAACACAAGAAAACAACAAAAATTGTACTATAGAAATAAAAATCCCAAGCATGTTACAAACATGGAAAGCCTAAAAGCCATCTAAAGCACATACCTCCTCATGCCAGAAAGGCACTACTGTGAATCTCAAAATGTACCTGAATAAGGCAGGAGGTTAAAAAATAACTTGGGAGTGTTTCGATCACTTACTCAGGCCTTTTGATCCCATGTCGTCAGGGATCTCCTGTAGAGAGTAGTCCCCAGAGAGCAAGCAATAAAAAGACAATCAAAGAGAATAGTTGTCAGTGATGCATAGAATTGGTGCTACAATAAGAGACAGTTCCAAGACCATGACAGGTACACACATTTTATGAAGATTGGTTGTAGATTTTTTTCAAAGTTTAGAATGAGCTACCAACTAAATGTTACCTACAAAAAGAATGAAAACTGGAGCTTAGAGGCTGATTAGAATATAAAGACAAAATTTCAGGTTATTTTGATATTTATAAGTAAAATTTACATAAGCTATATTTAATGATGAATCAAGAATAAATGGAATGATTCCAGATGATCTAGTATCAGAAACTGGCAGTACTAAACGTATAAATCAGGTACCTACACATTTTTTTCCCCTCAGAAATACTCTTTGAATGTGTTGTCAAGTGCTTTTTATATGAATCTTTATTTCAAAGAATTGTATCTATTTTTATATATAAAATATATATGTAAGTTATAAACAGGTAACTTAAATAATACTATTCAATAATTCCTATGTTCCAGGAAAGTTAAGACTGGCATATAAATTAATTTGTGTGTATTAAATTTCTCCTGGTTAGGGTGAGTAACCTGTTGCAGCTCTTGAAACTGTCTCCATGGTAACAACCAACTGCAGGGCAGTAGGTCCCTCTAACTCTATTTTCAGTTGACCACTGAACCCAAATACTTACGGTCAGCATCACTGGTTTCCTGCTCACTCTGGTCCTTGTTCTTGTAGAAGGGAAATTTTCGGGAAAAGAGGTTCTTTTTACGCTTGTCATTGAATGACTGCTGAAGAAGAGAAGGAGGGGCAAAACAAAGGGGGTGTCTACGTCTGTGTGCATAAAGGCCCCGCCTAGCAGCTATGGAAGCTGACTCCTGTGACCACAGTGTGCAGTCTGCATGGATTGTACACCGATCACATAAAAATGAAGTTCTGATTTTGTATAAGTTCCTATAATTCTAATATCTTGTATGTGTTAAATATTAAAAATTTAAAGCACATTCTGTTTTATATTAAGGAATAAATGCTACTTGACAAAAAAAAGTACAGAGTTAACCCGATTACTATTATAGTATAAACCAAGCTAATATTTATTTATATGAAAATGTATTTTTCTAGGAAAATTTTCAGGTAGAGGATTATATGTGATACCAAGTTATTTTTAATGTTATATTGTTGCTCAATTATCTTTCACATATTAGGTAGAAATCTTGATTTTACTTTGTCCTAATTACATTTTTTCTTTTATGCCTTTATTTGTGGCTACAATGAATTAACACAATAGCCACTATTAACAAAGCCAACCTAAATTATGAGGACGTTCCTAACAACAAAAAAATCCTTTTGGAAGAACAAAAGGTAAATTAAGTGTGGGCTCTGTGACATACAAACGGATAGAATATTTACGCAGTCACTAACTCAAGACTGTGAAGCATGACGATGCTTATTAAAGAGGAAGAGCTCCCTGTGCAATTCCTTGGCTTCAGGCTTTCTAAGTAGAGAAGACTTTACCTACTAGTGACATTAAAACAAATTATTCAGAGTAGGGATGATATGAAGATGTTTTGTTTGTTGCCAGGATTAGGGTGGTGGATATGATATGGAGGAATGATGACTGAACCCAGGGCCTTATACATGCTAGGCAAGTGCTTTACCCCTAAGCCACACTACTAGCCCAAAAAGAAAAATCTTGTTTTGATTTTCCAAGTTGATCTGCGTCATAAGATACTACATGTAGCAGCCCTGTACCATTGGTAATCTACTTTTGCTTCTGTCATTAATTTGGTTTGAAAATATTAAGTGGACTAATTCAGAAATGAACAATTCCCAAGTTTTAAACTGTCTGTATCTTGATACGAGTATCATGATAAAATATTATGCTATCCTGCTACAACATACCCCACATGTGAATTATCATTCTGTCCATTGCATCTACTCTGTATACCCAACTGATTTGTGACTAAGACTGGGTAGCCATCTTTGTTATCAGATTGACATCTTCATATCAATGTGTTTATTTTCAAGTATATGTATTTTTACTTAATGCACTAAAGCACAAGAGTAGCAATAACAGCAATTCTATTATATTGTTATAATTAATCTTATATTGTGCCTAACTTATAAATTATACTTGTTATAGATATGTATTTACAAGAGAAACCCAGTATATATGTGTTTTGGTTCCATCCATGGCTTCAGGGATTCTACTGGAGTCTTAAAGTGCATCTTTCACAAGTAAGTGGGGCCATTACTGCATATTATTTTGAAGCATATTGACACCAATCTGTATTGAATGTACTTTATAAGCATGTAGTGTAAGCAATTAAGGAAAGTAACCTTTAGCTCTAATTCTATAACTCAAGTTTTACTTTGAAAAGAATCATTTATAAATTAAGTTAGCAAATTATCTTAAAATTTAAAGGTTCTGAGGAGACAGGAAAAAAACAACAACTCTTAAGCAGAAGCTAAAAATGTTGTTGCTGAGGAGTAGGACTGTGGGAAATCTGGATTGGCAGTCTTTTTATAAACCGTCAAGTAGCATCATGTGATTTAAAAAAAACTTAAGTCTAAATTTAAAAAAATGAGAAAATTTAAGTTCTAGCAGAGAAAAAATGGTGATTTTTTTGCATAAGAATCATTGGTTTGAGTTTATATTTTTTGGCAAAATTGATGATTAAAAAAAAAAGGTTATTTACCCTGTTTACTGCATATACAGTGGTCAGAGTCAGTTTCCTAGCACACAACCAAAAGAAACATGAAGTTTAAAATGTTTTGTTTTTTGTTATCTTTGCCAAAATGAGATATCACAAGGACATCATAATAAAGGACAGCAAGAAATGTGTGTTAGTTAAGAAATGTATTAATTATACTAATTTAACATCACCCAGGTGAATAATTCATTAAAAGTGCAAATAAAAGGAGCACAAGCAAACAAGTAAAAAAAAGTGTATGGAAAATATAAAACTGAAGAGACATTTAACCTTCAGTTTTTCTGTATTTCTAATAAAAGTTATTTAATTTCTTAATATCATTAATGTCATGTTGTAAGAGTGCACTAAACATAAATGATACAATGCTCCAAACGCCTGATACATACATTAAACACATAGATATAGAATTTCCATATGTAGCATTTTAAAAATAGTTAAACGAGTGTTACAAATGTTAATGAGGAACTGAAAGGTTAAAGGTGTGCAATGGAAAAAAGTTTGCAGATCCGATGTAAGGAAAGGAAAGGGAGGGACAGAGAATACTACAGAAAGAAATGCAGTTCTGCATCAATGGCAAGCGTATTTTTACCCCACTCAGTACCATGCATACTTCTGGTGCTGTGTTAGAACACAGTGACCGTGTACAAAGTTGGTTACAGTCAACAAACAAGACTAAGATTTAAATGTCGTTAATTAAGTTAACTTTTTACAGAATGAAAGGAAAGTTAAAACATGCAACTGCTTTTCATTGATGGTTTACTGTACTGATTTATTTTTAAATACACATACAAAACAAGTACAGAAAACACTGAGTTATTTAATATCCTGTGTATTTACTTGGGATTTTTCTTCCAATAAAAATTTCTAACATATATTACTTCAGGTTACAAGATATAATTGTGTTTTTGTCTGAAAGCTACAAGTTAATTTTACAGAAATTTCTCACCTTCAAAAATGGAATTATATAATTTATTCAGATTTAATTTCCTTAAACTATTAAAGCTTTACACACTGGGTGCTTAGTGAGCTGTGAAGTATAGTGATGAGGGTGTACAGAGAGTAAATGTATTTGCTGACTTAGCTTTTACATTTATTTCAAGTATAATAAAAAGCTTGTAAAATTTGCTTCAGATTAAAAAAAATGAAGACACAAACATTATGAAAAGCACGTCAGTACAGCATGAGTAAAAGTTCTTTCTTCAACTTACTTAAGAACATTTCGTTTCAGGGGGTATAGGTAATTAGGAATTGCATACATAGTATATAACTACTATATTTCTCATCTATCAACATCTTATATTTTCATATTCAAGCAGATTTGAAGTAAATGAAAAATAAACACCTAAAATACACAAGAAACTTGATATATTTTTGCCTTCTATATGACTTCTTTTGACATTCTTTATTTCCTCCAAATATAGCTTTGTAGTGATCCTAACATCAAAAAACATGGATTCTAATAAGAAATTAATTATGGGATGAAGGGGATACAGAGCAAAGACCTCTCCATGACCTCACCTGTAACTTACAAACTTACACTGTGATTTAGTTAAACATGTACACGCACATCTGTTTAAAGACTTACTATGTACCCATGGATGGTCTGAAATTCACTATGTAGAGCAGGTTGGCCTCAAACTCATAGAAATTGCTGCCCCTGCTTCCTGACTGCTGGGATTAAAGGTGTGCACTACCATGCCCAGCAAGTAATAATATTTAATGGAAGCATCGTATAGAAGAATCATTAAACTAACTGTCCTGTAATACCTGAAACATAAGTATGTCTGATGCCTATATGCTTGTCTCTACGCATCATTAATTCAACTAAAAAAAGCCTAGTAATACATCTGAATGAAAGCTGATTTCCTATCATTCATCAAAAGTTACTAATAGTCTATCAAATGACATAATTTGAAAAGGTATGCATAATAGATACTTTATAATAAATTACTACTACTATTCTAACTTGTGGCAAGAGTTGCTCACAGTTAATTACTATAGTAAGCCTTCTCATTGTAACAACAGAGCTAAAATAAAAACTATGGAGAAGTCTATTGTCTTAAGGATTTCCAGAAATAAGAGATTTCAGATACTCACCCCTTTATCTCTTGTTTTAGAATTGAACTTGACTGTTTTTAACCGGGCTCGTTCTTTCTTCTCCACTCTGTCAAAGCATAGAAGGTTACTGACTTTGTTGTTGAGACTGAATCCTAAGTCTCACATGTATCAGACATATTTTCTAGCACTGAGTCTTGATTCCTAGATTTTCTTTTTCTTCTGCTTTTTTTTGGTTTTTTCGAGACAGGATTTCTCTGTTTTGTTTTGGAGAGCCTGTCCTGGAACTCGCTCTGTAGACCAGGCTGGTCTTGAATTCACAGAGATCCATCTGCCTTTGCCTCCCTTTCTTCTGCTTTTATGTTGGAATTTCACTGTTATTCAAGCTTGATGTGAATTCAAAACCTTGTCTTACTTTGGGAGTAGTTGGGGTTGATAGGTCTACATTAAGAATAGTTTTCTCTTAAAAAATTTGTGCATGCACATTGGTGAGTGTACATGCATGTAAACATGTATGCATGGAAGTCAAAGGTCACTGTGAGAGGTCTTCCTTACATGCTCACTACCATTAAAAAATACATTTAGGGGGTTGGAGAGGTGGCTCAGAGGTTAAGAGCAGTGACTGCTCTTCCAGGGGTCTTGAGTTCAATTCCCAGCAACCACATGGTGGCTCACAACCATCTACAATTCAATCTGGTGCTCTCTTCTGGCAGAACACTGTATATGTAATAAATAAATAAATCTTAAAAAATACATTTAGTTGTATGTATGTTTGTTTGTATGTATGTATGTATGTATGCATGCATATATTCATCCCTGTGTAAGAGAATGAACAAATGTGTGGGTACCCAGGAAAGACAAAAAAGTTGGATACTATGGGAATTTAGGTCATAAACATGATTTAGATGTTGGGAACCAAACTTGGATTCTCTGCAAGAGACAATATATGTTCTCCACGGCTGAGCCATCTCTTCAGCCCCCTACCTCCATTTTTGAGGCAGGGTTTCTCACTGAACCCACAGTTCACCAATCTAGCTAGACTGGCTAGTGGGCACACTTCAGGGACTGTCCTGTCTCTGACTCGTCAGTGCTGGAATTCCTCCAGTGCACTATTCTGTACCTGACATTTCTACGTGGGTGTCAAGATTAAACTCAGGTCCTTACATTTGTGTGACACTTTACAGTTCAAGCCATCTCACCAGTCCCTAGGTGTTATTTAAGTCCAAAGCAATTAAGAGCCTTGCTTGACATCACTTATATAAAACTGACACATCGTTTTACTACGAAGTAAGAAATCTCTTATGAAATAGCAAACTACAGCATATAAGTGCACACACACATGCACTAAGTTCCATAATTACACTAAAACAGTCAGACTTCAGTCATTTTTCCACGTCTCCTCCTTTCTCATTTAGATACTAGCTTAGCAGAGAACATATATGATGAAAATTAAGTTCAAGAGAGAAAGCAAATGGAGCAAAACTTAAAAATTTGGATGCATACTGTATTATTCTTGAAAAATTTTACTGTTCTGTAGTTCTGAAATGTAAAAAACATGTGGAAAAAATTAAACTTAATTCCAATAATATATATATCTATATCTATCTATCTATCTATCTATATATATATATAGATAAAATATAGTATACAAGTCAGAGCTGAATAGTATTTGGAAGGAGAACAGGCAACCTTCATTATGTCTTTGGGAACAGGTTAAGAGGTGCCAGAATGGCTTTTAAAACAGTTCAGTTTGACCCTTGTTTAAGGACCATCTATACTGGGCATGGAAGCTCACTGTGAGCTTGAGGTCAGACTGTGTTCCATAGTGAGTTCCAGCTAGGATGGGCTAGAGTCTTGTCACTCAAACAGAGAAATAACAACAAAAGGGTCACCTATTCAAATATGCAAGTGAATAAACAAAACAAAATCTCATTTAGATCATGACAGGACTATGAATCGTGCAAATTTGGTTTCATTTAAACTTTTTATAAACCTCTAATTTTCAGTTTTTAAGTATGATAGCATACTGCAGGACAACCTAGCAGAACAGCCTAGGAAAACTATCTAGCTAATGTTTTATTATGAGTACAGTAGGATGTTAATATTCACAGATTAAAGCCTTATTTTCTATAGTACTCCAGAAGAATACTTGGAGTTTATGGATGAATAATTTATAAACTTGTCCCAGTACTTACTGACGGTACCACTAAACTAGAATTTATTGAATAAACATTTACCATTCAAAAGTGAGCTTTTCTAATTGTTGTCTTGTTTAGTAAATAAGTAGTATTTGCAAATGCTATTCCTGAAATAAAATCAAGAACTGTAACTCTTTGGCATTAGATTTGTGGATGAAGACAGTTCTATTTAAGAAAACATAAGTTTTAAAAGCATTCAAGAAAACAATGAAGATGCCTGTGTCTCTCCTAAGCCTACAGTTGTGGAACTGTGTTCAGAGCTGTCAAAGGCACCGTGGAGGGATACCATGCCTTTTTTCGATGTGCAGAAAAAGCTAGGCATTATAATGCCTAAATTGTTACTTGGCAATCCAAAGTGCCGAAAAACCTTTCAAGATCCTCTCTTGGTGCCTTGCTTTTGAAAAAGAACAGGATTGGTGCTATCTGGGCTCAAAAGTAGTACAATGTAAAATATAGAAGATTTTGGGAGCCGGAGAGATGGCTCAATAGTTAAGAGCACTGGCTGTTCTTCCAGAGGACCCAGGTTCAATTCCCAGTACCCACATGACAGCTCACAACTGTCTGTAACTCTAGTTCCAGGGGATCTGACACCCCACACAGGCATTCTATAGACAAAACACCAATGCATATAAAATAAAAATAAATAAATGATTAAAAATATAGAAGATTTTGAAGAATATTTCTTTGGCACAAAACAATGAAAGGTGATATTAAGTGGCAGCAGGACCAACTAATCAAAGTGGGGGAAGCACCCTGCCCCCTACCACTTGGGCAAGGGAAACCCAGACCTGATCAAGGCAGCTGGAGGCTGCTTTTTATGCTGTTTCCCACCAGAAAGAATGTTTGATGAATTCTTCATCCAAGTATGTAAAAACAAAGAACTACTTCACCTTAAAAAAAAAAAAGACAAATTTGCTGTACATTCCTACTATATTTTATGGTAGAAAAATTAATAATCTATAATACTATTTATGAACTAGGGCATGTGTGGACAACTCAAGGTGGATCTGTGTTACTTCTTTCTTTCCATTCAAGTCAGCAAGCTTCTCACTGGGTGAGGGCACATGTAAAACCTTCATAGAATAGGAGACTCCAAAGGATATGACAATTTTTAGGAACTCCAACATTGATATTTAAGATGTGAGGTTTCCATAGAATCAAGAAGGCAGAGAAACATTTCTGAATTGAAGCACACTATATTCTAATCAAGGAAAGAGGAATGCCAAAGGCTGCACTCCTAAAATAAGATTTTCCACCAAACATGATTATACAACAGATGGATCTTGCTAAACACATAGAGCTAGCTAACAACAGTTATAATAATTATAAATCTTGGTGATCAATCCTTCAGCCCTGTTCTTGGGCTTAGGGTGCAGTTTAGTGGTATAATGCTTGTGTAGCATGCACAGAGCCTAGGGGTGGGAGTGGAGGCTCAATCCTTAATACTGCAAATAAAAAAAGTACTTCTACCTGTTTGTGCTATATAAGAGAAGCAGATGCGAAACTGTATTTTTCAGTTAAAAGAAGTATAAATCCAATTCACCAATAAACTAGATCCTACATGTATTAACTAGCTATAATAAGTATTAATACCACATTTGCTGGCTATCTTGAAATAAGTCTAAGTAACTGAAATAAAAAGGGAATGAAGCATTCTACGAAGTTTTCTTTCTTCCCTCTACTTTCTTTTTCTTGTGTGGCAGGCACTAGGGATTGAACCCAGGCCTCATGCATGCTAGGTAATCAAACCTGGGTCCTCTGAAAGAGCAACCAGTGCTCTTAACTGCTAGACAATCTCTCCAGATCCCTCAAAGATAATTTGGTGACAGAATATTTTCTAGTTATATCACTGGCTATTTTTTTGTTTGAGACAGAGTCCCACCATGTATCCTTGACTGTCTTTGACTGAGATCTGCCTGCCTCTGCCTCTGCCTCTGAGTGTTGGGATTGAAAGTGTGCTACCTCACCAGGACCTTCACTGGTTACATTTAAATGTGACAGATTTAAATAGTTATGAATCACACCATGAAAAACAAAGCATATATAAAACCACTATTTAGAGAAAGGTATTTATTTAGTTATTCATTTAGTTTTCAATTTATTAGTTTGACAATCTTAGGGTTCAAAAATTTTAAACTGTGCATATTTAAAGTATAGTAATGCACAGCTGCAACCCTGACACTTGGGAGCTCAGATAGGAGGACTGAGAAGTCAGGGTCAGAGAGTGACACTTGGGAGCTCAGATAGGAGGACTGAGAAGTCAGGGTCAGAGAGTGACACTTGGGAGCTCAGATAGGAGGACTGAGAAGTCAGGGTCAGAGAGTGACACTTGGGAGCTCAGATAGGAGGACTGAGAAGTCAGGGTCAGAGAGTGACACTTGGGAGCTCAGATAGGAGGACTGAGAAGTCAAGGTCAGAGAGTGATACACAGCAAGATCATGTCTCAAAACCCAGGCTGGGGAGATGGCTCAGTGTGTAAAACATTTAGTGCACAGCTCAGAGTCTCAGAATCAACACAGAACAGGAAATGGTAGTGCAATGCCTATAGTACTCCTACAGTGATGGAGCGTGGAGACACAAGGATTTTTGAAAGCTCACAGGATCAGCTAACATGGAGTATGCAACGGTGAATGAGATCCTGTTGCAGACCAAGTGGAAGGTAAGGACTGACACCAAGGCTGTCCTGACTGCCACACGCATGTCTCGGCACATGGAAGCCCCCTCCATAAAGCTATAATTTGATTTGTTATGCATATTTTTGATATTCATAGGTAAAACAACTGTTATAAATCATGGTAATCACATAATTATCATCTCACACAGTTATCTATTTATTTATTTTTTTGAGTCAGGATTTCTCTGGTAACAGAGCCGGCTGTCCTGGAACTCACTCTGTAGACCAGCCTGGCCTCAAGCTCAGAGATCCACCTGCCTGTCTCCTGAGTGCTGGGATTAAAGGTGTGTGCCACCAACACCTGGCCACAGTTATTTTTTAAAACATTCTTTGGGTGGTGAAAATACTTAGGCTCTACTTTCTTAGCAAATTTCAAGCACCTACAAGCTCACTGCAGCACACAGTAGCATTCTGGACCTATTCTTTTACAACTGAAACTACATTATCTCTTGACCAACATCCTCCCATTCCAGTAACCTCCAGAGTCCTTTCCAGACTATTTCAAACTTCACATCAAGTGAAACAACATCTGACTTCCTGTATCAGGCTAACGTCACTAAGCATATGTGCTTCAGGTCCGCCCACACAGCACAGTCAAAGAAATGCCAGGAGAAACAATGACTTATTAATGCCCTACTTTGAAGTGCTAAGAAAAAGCATTTACCTGCGTTTACTAGGAATTACTCCAACTTCGTCACTTTCGCCATCCGGTGTAACCTGTCTGGCTTGCCACCATTCATCGTCAGAAGCATTGATAACATGGAGAATATCTCCAAATTTGAAGTTCAACCCTTGACTGGGAAGGCCACTATCTTTAGTCTTGTCGTAATCAAAAAGGGCTCTAAACTCAGAAGAGGAAAGTTCATAATGAGTTGTCATGGTGGGATTAATTAATTTTAAAAATATATGTGATTCCAGAAGTATATATAATTTGTATAAATTATTAGTATAGTATAGTAAATGTATAGACAGAATGTTTAGGTTCAATTTTACATTATATATAAGACAGACAAAGAAAGAAATCACAGAAATCATTCTTTAATGGAAATAGCTTTAAGTATATTATTTATTGCTGTCAGTGATTTAGGATAGACTTCATGTTTGCTTTTTTATTTGATATAGGGATTGCTGTATAGCCCGGGTGAGCCCAAAACTCAATCATGTTTTTGCCTCAGCCTCCTAAGTGCTGGGATATCTAGTTCCTTTATCTTACTGTGACCTCTAGGAAATTAAAACTGACACACTTGACTCATTAGTACTGTTTCTAGCGACACTGATGCTTCAGAGAGTAGAGCAGAGTCAGTGCTGGATCCACCACTTCCCGGGGTTTTGTGGTACTTTGTTTTACTTTGACAGTTTATTTGGTTTCATACTGCTTTTTCTTTTCTATTACATGGGGCTAATAATGACACATTACAGAACTGTTCTGAGGATTACATCAGATTTGGTAAAGGATATAAGAGAAATCTTTTTTTTTTTTTTTTGGTTTTTCGAGACAGGGTTTCTCTGTAGCTTTGGAGGCTGTCCTGGAACTAGCTCTTGTAGCCCAGGCTGGCCTCGAACTCACAGAGATCCGCCTGCCTCTGCCTCCCGAGTGCTGGGATTAAAGGCGTGCGCCACCAACGCCCGGCATAAGAGAAATCTTAAAAATCTCTGGGTATACTGAGTTACACTTGTAGTCTCAGCTGCCCATGAAGTTGAGGCAGGAAGATTGCCTGAGCTAGAAGTTCAGGGTGAGCCTTGGCAACACATTGACGCTCTATCTCACAATAGAGAATACAAATAAATCCAGCACCCAAAACCCAAAATTTCTTTCACTATAATCCAATAACAAATTAAAAGAAATATACTATAAATATTATTTTCTACTTTGATTAGGTATTTAGAAACACAAATTCCCATCTACAGATTAACACAAATGTTTAAGTATATAAGACTATACCAATATAGTGATTACTTTCCAGCTAATTACTTCTCCTGATTGTTTGCAAAAATAGAATTAACAGAAGTTCAAAAGTCATTATCAATGAAAATTAGGTAAGACATCTTTATCAGCTGCCAAATTTCTTAAAAGATACTTTATTAATTTAATCTGACAGCTGTACAATGTTGAGTTCTTCAAAATTTGTTAAAAAGAAAATATTTACTAATATTTAACTAACACGCAATATTTACGCCAATCAATTCTTAAGTCCCAATAAGCTGTCTTAGAAGTAGACGGAAAGGCTGATTGCAGTTGCCCGGCACGCACAGCCCTGGGTCTGATTCTTAGCACCAGGGAGAAGTGCTGTGATCCCCAGCACTTCTAGCACACAGCCAAGAGAGCCAAGGAGAAGCGAGGTAAGCAGACTGAAATACAAAACATCAATTCTTTTGTCGTAAGCCGAAAAATGAAAATTAAGGTAAATCTTTCCATGTTACCCAACACTTTAATGTTTTTGTTTTTTGTTTTTTTTTTGGGAGGAGGCTATTTTTGGTTTAGAGTTAACTGCTCTTTGGAGGAAAGAGGTCAGTTTTGGACATAGTGGGATGCAGTGCCTACCATGTTCTCCTCCCTTTCCTTTTACAATAAATAATGTTAATGGCCTAACTAGTTTAGAATTTTATGTAGTCTTTTTAGCATTACTTTTTATTTTGTTGTTTTATATATAAGAGTATATGCAGGTAAATTTAACCCAACCAATTTTATGTAATCATTACTAAAACATTAAGCTAAGCTTTTCTATTTTTAGTCCACATTTATTTTCCCCTTTCTATACCATTAGTAATTCAAAGGGTCACATAATTTAAATTAAAATTATAATATCCTAACTCTTGAAAGATACAATGTCAGAAAATCACTCATGAAAATGTTCTGATTTGCACTTAATTTTTCTATAGTAAATTCAAGTCAGTCACAGTAAAAAAAAAAACTAAAAGAATCTGCATACATAAATGATTAAGTGATGTCACAATAATATGTAAAACTCACCTGACATAGAGGGATCGCTTCTGGCTAGTTCGAAGGGAACCCGACCCTGAGCTAATGCTACTGCTCATCAGCTGCTCCCGTAAGTCATGTATTTTAGCTTCAAAACGACTGTATTCTGTTGGGGAAAAAAAAGAAATAAACTAAATATCCTTAAAAACAAGTTTTTTTGTTTTTCAAGACAGGGTTTCTCTGTGTAGCTTTGGAGCCTATCCTGGCACTCACTCTGTAGACCAGGCTGGCCTCAAACTCACAGAGATCTGCCTGCCTCTGCCTCCTGAGTGCTGGAATTAAAGGCGTGCGCCACCAACACCCTGCAAAAACAAGTTTCTTAAAGGTAAAATGTAAACTATATGAAGTGTCTTAAAACTGACCTAATGACTTAAAAACTGTAAAATTAGTTAGGCCATTAACATCTATCCATTAAGTATGCCTACAAGTTTAAAACAGTAATAAGCTTCTAATTGTACCGGAAATTAGAACTGGCTAGTGAAGGATGTCTTTGTAAAAATCTCATTTGATCCACTGAAAGAAAATTCCACGAATCAAAGAACAATAGCAGTTTTCATTGTGTTTTAATTTAGATGTAAAATTTAAAAAGCAGAACTTATTCCATTTCTCAATTAAAAACAGAATTCTACAATAATTGTCAGATGTTCTGATTGCTGCAATTTCCCCCGTGAGAGAAAAACTCTCAAATACAGACCTTATGCAAAGTTGATAACAATGGAAAAGTATACCCAAACCAGATAACAGAACTAAATTTAACTAGCTTATGATTTTTAAACTGTCAAAATGCCAAAATAAGAGAGGTAATCAGAAGCAGCATTCATAAAATTAAAAGAAAACATTTAAATTCTTTTTTGGAAGATGTCTATTTCAAACCATACTATAATGTTAAAAACTATGAAATCCCCTGGTACTGTGAACCTGGTTAAGACCGGCTACAGTTTTATTTTCAGTAAAAAATGCATCAGACCACGGCTCTTGAAGGGAGTGACTTCTGTGCTGTGCTGTTACCATCTTCTTACGTTGGCTTGCTAACTTTCACAGCTCTACCATATGTAACAATACACTCATTATTTCATGTAGGCAGCATTATTAGCTTTCACTTTGCAAATCTGATTAGGAGAAGCCTTGGGCAATTTTAAACAATCAGCATTTTAGAAAGTTGAAAACTTTTTGCAAAAAGAGCACATTACATTTTACAGTGAGGCTGGAGAGCTCTTTCCGAGGAGTAACCAATCACTACAAAGCAGCTACAGTCTCAAATACTAAACATTGTAGATAAGGGAACTAGAATGATTACTAATAATTTCCTAAATTTGTGATTTGTTATTTTTGTATTTATGGTCCTTACTATTAAGAATTCCTTGTAACATTTGTCTTTATGGCCAAAACCTTCTTCAACAATTTCCCATTGTTACTTTCAGTTTTCATTTACCTCTCCAAAATTCCCATCTTTTCATTTTGTTTCAATCAGTTCACACCTGCCATCCTGTTGCCACCTTTTATCTGGCCTGTGTATGTTTCCTTACGTTTTATCTGGGGAGAATTTTGTCTCCCTCTTGGCTGTGTACATCCTTCTAGAAACCATGTCTGTTCTTAGTAGAGCCGCTCCTGGGGAAGAACAGGCTGCGTGTCCCACAGGAGACACTCTAGCATTTCAAAGACCAAGGGACTAAATCATATTTTATTTCATGTAACATATTAGAGTTATCTGAAATAATTTTAATAGCATGCTCATGCTTATTTGGAGAGAGACAATGTTTAATGCCCCCGGCCCTCACTTTAGGATCCTCAAATACGATATTCAGGAAAATTTGGAAAATAATAAATATAAGGAAATGACTCCTGAAAAGGAAACACATACTAAATATTCGTATCTACAAAAAAACTTTTTTTTTTTTTTTGAGACAGGACTTCTCTTTGTAGTCCTGGCACTCTGTAGACCAGGCTGATCTCGAACTCACAGAGATTCACCTGCCTCTGCCTCCCAAGTGCTAGGATTAAAGGCGTGCACCACCTCTGCCTGGCTTTAAAACTTTTTTTTTTTAATTAAGACTAGAATAGTACTGATCTTCATCAGACCCCCACTCTCCTGTAAAAGAGAAAAGGATCAATCTGAAGGACCATATAAAGAGAAGCTTGGAAATCACACACACACACACACACACACACACACACACACACACACACACACACACACACACAAGAAACAAGACACAAAATAAAACTAAGTGTAAACACCATAAAAGAGAATGGAGAGGGAAATTGTTTGGTATACTCAGCATCTATGGAGAAACACTATGAATGGCAAGTGCACCTATTCAATATTGGGTATGTGCTAGGCTTAGGAAGAAGTCAAGGGCCATAAAAACAAAAACACAAACAAAAAACCAAGACCATATGTGTTCTGTGCCACTATAACAATGCTTCCTGTTAGCAGAAAGTTCTTATGAATGTACTAAATTGACAATTCAAACATTTACTTTCTACACGATTTTTTTTTTGGTTTTTCGAGACAGGGTTTCTCTGTGGCTTTGGAGGCTGTCCTGGAACTAGCTCTTGTAGACCAGGCTGCCTCTGCCTCCCAAGTGCTGGGATTAAGGGCATATGCCACCAACGCCTGGCTTTTAAGGGATTTTTAAATAAAAAATTAAATTAAAATATAAATACATCACTTCCCTCTTTCTTCCCCTCCTAACATCTTTTTACTTTCTCTAATTGATGATTTCCTTTTATTGTTGTCACATATACACAATACATAAACATTTAAGTACAACCTACTAATTATGTACATGTTGCATAGACACTTTTTTTTGAAAACATTGCCATTGAATATTTTTAGTTTTTCTGTTTTTGCTTTATTTTGTTTACTTTTGTACTGTATTCCCTACTGAATCTCTGCAGTGTCTCTGGGTTTTGTTAGCTTACATTAATCTCTGTCACAGTTCTTACACTCGTACTTTGTAGTTCTCTTTCAAAGTGAACGCATAAACTGTTAGGGAAGCTGAGGTTAAATTTCATGTTACACATCATCCCCTGATGAGCTTGGCCACTACCTCTGCTCCTTCCTTGTACTTTATATGAATGCTCAGGTTAGCTACTTTTAAACTGTGTATTACACTGAATTCAATTTTGCTGGACCAGGAAAGTAAGAGTAAATGTAACAGTTGGTAATTTTATTGTCTAGAAACACTGTATACTGAAAACATCATCCTATTTTAAATAACAATAAAGGCTACTAGAAAATATCATAAACTTAGTCAATGAGTATAATCTAAAATTTGAAAGAAAAAAACTGAGTAACTTCATTTTCTTTGTTAGCATTACTGTTTTTACTTCTTGTTTTTATCAATCTTTCAAACCAACAAGTTGGTAAAAGGGATATCAGGATGTGTTAAATTGGAAGTCAGATTAAAGAGAAACTTGAAATTTAATCCAAATAATGGTTAATCTCAAAACAGTTGGCAGATGAAGTTTACCTAATCCTAATGAAAAAACATTTCTGACCTGGAAAATGAATTGGTTTAGACTGGACAAATACTAGGTTAGCAAATTAAAACAAAACATAAATTATGAGTTAAGATTAGAAATGAGATTATTAAGGGCTGGGGACGTAGCTCAGGTGATAGGTGCTAGCCCTGAATGAATAAAGCCTGTGGCTTGATCCCTAGTGTACAGTATAAAACATGGTGGCATTCAACCATAACTATTTTCTGGGAGGTAGAGGCAGGAGGATCAATTCAATTATCCTGGAGTCACATGGAGGTCAAGGACAGCCAAGGCTATATGAAAGCCTGTCTCAAAAAATAAAAATAAAAAGGTAAACATTACCAAGGGGAAGAATTTAAAATTAAAACAAGGAAAGTAACTAAAATATACAATGGCTAATAAGGCAACAAAAATTATATTACCTTCAGGTCGGTATTGTGCAACAATAGTGACAGCTTGGCCTGCATTTTTTAATGCGGCTGCTGCTTGCTCATGACTTGCAGCTCTGAGGTCAACACTGTTTACCTATAAATAAAATCAAATACTAATGTAAGAAAACATCATCTTTGATTAGAAATCAATGACCTGTTATGTGAGTAGGCACGGGTCAATTGCAGTATCTTTACTGTTTAAACACATTGTACAGTAAAACAACACATAATTATTTTAAACAATTGTTTCACTAAAAACACTTCTTCAGAAAGAGAAGAAAGGCAAGCATCTCCTCAGGAGTTCAGAAGGCTGGCAACCCAGCTGGTAACAACTATCATTTTTTGCACAATCTGTTTTTATAAGCAGCTCCAGCAGTGGGAGGAAAACTATTCCTGTCTGCAGCAGAGCTTCACATCTGCACGACATTTAACTCTCCAGCTCAGCTTCCCTACAGAGTAAGTCTCCCATTCTTTAGCTGTAACAGGAAAGCAATTGCTTAAGCATATTAAAACAGTTCAGATTTGGGGGCCCAATTTAAACAACAGTAAATGTAAATACTCTCAGAGATACTTTTTTTATTTTTTTGGTTGTACGAGACAGGGTTTCTCTGTATTGTTTTGGAGGCTGTTGGTCCAGCCCAGCCTCGAACTCACAGAGATCCGCCTGCCTCTGTCTCCCGAGTGCTGGGATTAAAGGCGTGCGCCACCACCGCCCGGCTCAGAGATACTTTTTAATAAAGAAACTTGCATTGGGTGAATAATTATTAAAGTGACAATCGGGCTCCTGATTAGTTTACACAGCAAGGTACAACCTTAAGAGATTACTCCTTTCCTCTAAGACAAATTTAAGATTCTATTCATAGAGTTATTATTATTGAGTGCAATAAACCCTTAATATTAAAAAATTAAGAACTGCCAGGAGACAGTGGCGTGTGCCTTTAATCTCAGCAGAGGTAGGTTGATCTTTGTGAGTTCAAGGTCAGTCTGGTCTAAAGAGCCACTTCCACAGCCAAATCTTCAGAGAAACCTTGTCTTGAAAAAAACCAAGAATCAACAACAATGAAGAGACTACAACTGTGTTTAGGATTACACTAAGTATTATTGATAGAAGGGATGGAGATGGCTCAGCAGTTAAGGGCACTTGTTTCTCAGAAGCCAAATCAGATGGTTCACAACTGTCTAACTCCAGTTTGAGGGGTCTGATGCTTACGGCTGTCAGAGGCACTCATATATACTCATACATCCACATGCATACACATGTATACCTACATATAGTTAAAAATTAAAAATAAACCTTTAAAAATTACATTTTAGCCATGTAAAGCTAAATACAATTGAATGTGGCTATTAGAGAGCAACTCCAGCTCCAGAGGGTTTATCATTTATAACAATGCAATGTATAGCTCAAATTCCAATTACCAGGAGAATAAATGAGGGAAGAACTTTGGAGGAAGGTGAACTTTTATAGGTCATAGTAGAAAGACTAAAACATTTTTGGGGTGAGGGACACAGGCTGCCCTGGAACTCATGGTAGCTGAGGCTAGAGTCAAAACTCATGGCCATTCATTCTTCAGTGTCAGTCTCATTAGTGCTGAGATTAGAATTGTGAGCTCAAGATGAGGAGTTTTAATGGGGGAAGGAGAAGGCTTAGTGGGTAAAAGTGCTTGCTAGCAAACTCAATGACCTCACATTTGGATTCTCAGAGCGTATACAAAAGCTAGGTACAATGGCTCCAGTGTTTTTAATCCCTGTGACTACTGGAAATGGGAAGTGGATAAAGGGGAATCTCCAACTCAAAGGCCAGTGGGCTTAAAGTACAGCAAAAAGACCCTTTCATCAACAACACGGAAGGTTTGGACTGACATCCCAAGACTGTGCTCTGATCGAATGCCTGCTACCTTCACGCACAAAGACATACACAAAAGTAGTGACAACTACAGGCAGAAAATACATTTTACTTACTGCCTAGCTCTCTGCCCTCGAGTATACTCGATAAACCATTCCAAAAAAAAAAAAAAGTTTTAGTAAGTTATTTCTAGGATCCAAACCTCTTGTTTGGGAAAGATAGCCTGTGTCAGGACTGAAAAACACATAATTTGTTGCCAAGAGTAGAACTTAAACTTTACAAAATAGCAGTCAATACTTGAATGGAAGCACAATGTCTTATCAAGGGTGTTTGAGACAGGGTCTTACTATGTAGGCATGGCTGGCCTAGAGCTCACACTGTAGACCAAACTGGTCTAGAACTCAGTGATCCACCTGCTTCTGCTTCCTGAGTGCTGGGCTTAAAGATGTGTACCACCACACCTGGGTCAAATTTTTTGGTTGTTTTTGGTTTTTTTTTTTTTAAAGGAAGAAATACATGTACTGAAAGGAATGTATGCATAAACAGTCTTAGATTCACCTAAAGAAACACTCATACAAATATTTTTAAAAAATGGGAAATACTTCAAATACCATAAAATATACACATTAAGACTGTATAGTTGGGTGTTTTTTAGTACACCAATGAGGGCATGTAACCATCACATCACAACTATGTAGTCCCAAAGTGTTTTCTTCGTTTAGAAAGAAGCTCAAATCTAGTTACTGTGGTCTCCCTAACTCGTAAAACCTCTGTGTAGACTTTCTTCTGTACATTGAAGGAAGTGGGAGTCTACACTTTGTGACTTTTTTCCTTAGTGTTTTTTCCTTAAGGCTCATGCCTATAGCATATTTGAGTACTTCCCGTACTATGGTTGATGAATGTATCATTGTATGCATACATTATGTGTTGTTTATCCATTTCCCTAAAGACGCACATGCATGTCCAGCTCTCTACTACTGAGCCTTCTCCCCGATCAGTTCTGCTCCCTATGTTCAAACTCTGTGTAGTTCATTTTGTGGAGCATCTCAGCCCTGAAATCCTGTTGAGTGGACTGGTTCTGCTAGATTCACTGTGTTGTTCCAGTGTTTAAGACTTTATGCACACGAGATTATGCCGTCTGTACAAAGTTTCCTCTTTTTTAACCCTAGGGAATGTTCTGTTTTTCTTTTCTAAGTGCTCTGGCTTCGGCACAATGCTGGACAGAGGTGGGAAGAAGACTGAGTGTTTTTGTTTTCACTGAATGTTTTAGTTGTTCATCATTTAGTATAAAAGCTGCTGCTTTGTCAAGGCAAGAATGTTGTTTCAATTCCTAGTTTGTTAAATGTCTTTACTATGGAAAGGAATGGGACTATTACAACCACTTTCTCTACATTACAGAATGAATATGTGGCTGCGTCATTACTGTATCAGGATGGTTTGTAAATGGTTTTTCTCTGCAGAACCAATCATGCATTCCTTGGATAAAGTCCTCTTAGCTACAGTGCATTACTGTATGTTTCTAGATCCACTCTGTTACTTTAAGTATATAAACACATACATTTTTTATTAACCACTTTGGTTTTAAAGTCTATTTTCTTTCAAGATAGATTTATTTACTTGTTTACTTATTTACTTATTTATTTATTATGTAGGCAGCATTCAGCTTTGGATGCCAAAAGAGGGCACCAGATCTCATTAGATATGGTTGTGAGTCAACATTTGGTTGCTGGGAATTGAACTGAGGGCCTCTGGAAGAGCATACAGTACTCTTAACCACTGAGCTACCTCTCTAGTCCTAAAGTCTATTTTCTTATTATTTGTATTTCTGAATTCTATCTATTGAGGTACTTAAATGTTTGTCCTAGAGTTTTTATATCGTGTTCTAGTTTTGAAAATCCTGTTGCACATTTTCCTCTTGTTCCTAAAGATTTTTCTCTTTTGCTTTCATGGCATTTCCCCACAGACTAGAAGGTATTTACATGTCACTGTTACTGATGTCTACTGCCAAACAGTTCTGTCTTTAAACATACCCAGGGTGAGCCTTGCACTCTCTGGAGTGGTCTTGGCTGTACTGCTGGCCTCAAGCATTTTGGCAACATTGTGTGTCAGTGACCCACATAAGCTGGTCTCACATGGGCAACTTAAAATGATCTATTTTTGCTCTGAGTTTTTCACGCCAAACCCTATGCCAACTGAAAATGTACTTTGACAGAAGGTGTGAAGTCAACGTCCTAAGTTAATTTTATTTTCCTAAGTAGCTAATTTGTCTAACGACACTTACCACCAATTTATCCTTATCACACTATCACTTATTTTTAAAAGACTAAACTACAGTATATCTTCAAAAAAGTAAAACAAAACAATATCCCCATGACTACTTAATATGGAAGCATCTGACAACTATACACACCCATGAAACTACTTAGCTAAAGAACATACATACTGTTTCTATTATCCAGCCCCAAGAGTTCTACTGGGTACTTAAAACAAAAAAAACTTTTTACTGATTCTTTGTGAATTTTGTATCATGCACCTGAATCCCACTCATCTTCCCATCCCTTTGTATCCTCTCTCTGTCCTTGCAGCCCCCAGAAAGAAAACAACTAGTAAATGTAATAAAAGACAAAAAAAGTGTCTAAAAGTGACGAGAAGACACCTATGGCTGCTCTCATCATTGACAGAGTGGTGAGGTAAGGAGGAATAGATGGATATTAGAAGAAACCAGTAAGGAAAACTTTACTCAATCTCTTATGGTTTCTTGTAGACTGGGGAAACATAAAATTTCCAGGAAGCCACAAGGCAAGTCTACGTCCAACCTGTGAACCTCATTACCATGGAACTTGACTGAGTATTCAGATAAATGTTTGAGGATTGAAACATAAGCATTAAGAAAAACTTAGCTCATTTCTGAATTGTAGAGGGTATTCCCAAATACAAAGACAGTAGCTATGGTAGTTTGAATGTAGTTGGCCCCCATAATCTCATAAGTAGTGGCACTATTATGAGGTGTGGATTTGTTGGGAGTGGGTACAGCTTTGTTGGAGGAAGTGTGTGCGAATGCTGGTGAGCTTTGAGGTTTCCTATGCCCAGTGTTTCAGTTGACTTCCTGTTGCCTGTAAACCAAGATGTAGCTGGTACCATGTCTGCCTCCATGCCCATGGTCCTTGCCATGATGATAATGGACTGAACCTCTGAAATTGCAAGTGAGCCACCTCAATTAAATGTCTTTCTTATAAGAGTTGCTGTGGTCATGGTGTTTTTTCACAGCAATAAAAACCAAAACTAAGCCAGTAGCCTACTAAATTTAGCTCATGATAATATTCAATATAGTCAAAGTACTAAAAACTGACACTGAAGAAGCTTCAAGGTGTTGATAATCTGTCAAAAATTAACGACAGAAACTTTACTTTTAGTTGCTCAGTGACAGAAGTGCACCAAGAGAGGTGAAACAAAGCCCTCCAAGTCAGTGCAGAGAGAAGAGGTTACGGAATGGGAAACATATTCCCAAGGTAAAGAAAAAACAAGGGATGCTCAGAGAACACAAAGAACTACAGCACTCCAAAATGTTGGCAGTTAAGTTATAAAGTAGTTTTAAAAGCTGGCAGTTCAACTAGAATACATGAAATTTTCCTGTGCTCAGAAAATGCTTGCTTGATCCTGCTTTGAAAAACCACCCACCCACCCACCCACCCACCCACCCACCCACCCACAGAACAAAACAAAAAAACCAACCAACCAAAACTCCCAATAAATTAAACTGAAGCTATAACAAAATGTAGCTCAACTACAGATCATGTTTATACAACTTGATTCTGGCAATCTAAAACATGAATCATTCCCTATTCCTAGGATTAATCCCAGGCACACAAATTATTCTGTTACAGAGTAGTAACATATAGTATTTATCTTATACTTCCCCTCTGACAATGAGGGAGAGGAGGAAGGAGAGAAGGTTAGAGCACAGTTTGCTGCCGCTGGTTTTCTTTCCACCATGTGGGCCCCAGAAACTGAATTCAGGTCATCAGGCTTAGTAGCAAGTACATTTACTTACTGAATCATCTTTTGTGTCCTACTTCATTTATTATTTTATCTAAAACATCTCCCAATAGTTAATATTATAAGACCAGCAAAGATGGAAGAAAATCTAACTTATCAAGACAAGGAGAAGTTAGGTGGGTGTGGTGGCACATGTCTGTAATCTCAGGAAGTGGAGGCAAAGGGGTGTTGCTTAGTTGCTGGCCACATGGGACTACATTATAGAGAGCAGCAGGCCAACCAGGGCTTTAATGAGACCTTGCTACTAAAACCAATAATGACTATTATGATAAAATCATGATGATAAAAATGTTAATGGCTGTAGGAACAGATGATGTGGATGATGAGCTTGAAGAGTTTGAGCAAAGGCATAAAAACTATAAAAAAATGGACCAAATGGAATTTCTAGGGAAAAATACCAGAGATTTTATTGGAAACTTAGAGAATAATAAAGTTAGCTAAAGACGAACATAAGTCAAAACAAGTTTCCAAGGTGATACTTAAAGACAGGGGAAAGATGAATGTGAGGAAACAAGGATCATATCATCATCTGTGGAACAGGATCATACAGTCTAACAAAGACATGGTATTGTGAAGAGATACTGACAGAGAACTTCCAAAACTGATATGGGAGATGTGAGGCAGGTAACAGGTACTTGCCATGCAAGTCTGTTCCCCTGCATCAGATCTCTTGAACCCACAGTGGAAGAGAGCTGACTTAAGAAGACTGACCTTTGACTTCTACCCACATACAGCATGCACACTTGACACCAATCATACCCAGCAATTTATAAAAAGTGCTGAAAGAGAAAAAAAAAAGTTGATAGGTCCTATATTCAGTGAAATTATGAGAAATGGAGGTGAATGAAATATAGTTACAAAATCAGTATTAAAAAGAAAAAAAAGAGGAGCATTGCAGGAAAAATAAAAAGCAAAGATGAGACTGGAATCTACAAGAGTACTAATAAGAACTGTCCATCTGGAGTTGTAGCTCAGTGGTGGAGTAGATGTGTAGACGTGAAGCCCTAGGTTCAGCCCAAGCACTACAAATAATGGAAATTGTTACACAACAATAAACCCTGGTAAAAAAACAACAAGACTGAACTCAATAATATGTATTAGAAATATACTTTAAGTTATTTTAGAAATGCATTTTTAATGATTAACAGGTCACAGTAAAGACAATAAAAACATTAATTATCATATCCTACCGATATAATACGATCTCCTTTTCTGAGCTCTCCACTGAGATCAGCAGGTCCTCCAGCCAGGATGAAGGAGATAAATATTCCTTCCCCATCTTCACCTCCCACAATGTTGAAACCAAGTCCTGTTGAGCCACGATGAAGAACAACTTTTCTAGGCTCCCTAAAAATTAAGGAAAAAAATACCATAGAAATTTTATGTAGAACTTGAACATTCTAGTCAGAAGAGCATCCTACTGATGACTCCTACGAGGGGGGGAGGTCCTACTATGGAAGCCTGGCTGAACTTCAACTATCTGGCCTTAAATTCATAGCAGTCCTACCCAGTATATCCTGAGTATGGGGATTGTAGGCATATGTCACAATTATCAAACAATACACAAAGCTAAATGAAGAAAACAAAACAAAAATCCAAATGTCATATGAAAGGTTTCTCTAAATTACAAGGGAAAGAGAAATAAAAGGGAGGAAAAATCTAGTTTTATATAAAAGAAAAAATCCCAATGGTAAAAGTCAAGTAAACAAAATTAGAGCAATAACAAATAAAAACAAACAAACAAAGACAGCTGGGTAGTGGTGGCACACATCTTTCACTCTAGCACTCGCAAAGCAGAGGCAGGCGGATCTTTTTGAGTTTGAGGCCAGCCTGGTCTACAGAGCGAGTTCCAGGACAGCCAGCGATATTTACACAGAGAAATCCTGTTTCAAAAAACAAAACAAAACAAAACTTCCACAACAACAACAACAACAACAAAACAATATGAAAGTAAGAAATAATTCATATGGATCTGGGAAGAGTTGGGAAGTAATGAATTTATCAAAACACACTATGAATATTCAAAGAATAAAAATAGTATTAAAGGTAATATAAAAGTAGTATATATATTCTGTCAAAAATTTATGCACACTATTGCCTGAAAAGTCATCATAGCCATTATTTCTTAGATACACAAAGCAGTTCTCTGTTTTGCTTGGTGAAATAGAGCCCTTCTTTTAGTTGCAAAGACGCATACCATGCAACTAGTCAGTACAAACCATTTCCTTTTGCTAAGGAGAGAGGGCTTGACCCTTTTTTAGCTTTTGACAAATGAAAAGAAAATGTTTTGTCATTTTCCACAGAAAAAGACCTTAAAACAGAGTACATCCCTAACCTCCATTCTCATATCACCCATCTGGCCATCAAATGAACATAATGAAATCTCCTTACTGGGTTAGATGTATCGTAATGATGGAGGTGAAATCAGAGACTTCATAGGCATTATGGGTTACCCTATCAACCTGGAAAATGTCCATCTCCATACTTTTTAGATGAAATTAAGCATCTAACAACTGGGCAGTAGTCCTAGCTGCTTGGGAGGTCAAAGCATGAGAATTACTTAAAACCATGATCTGAGACCACCCAGGCATCATAGGCAAAGTCCATCTCCAAACAAGAGCAGCCTTCCAGAATTATCATCCAAAATACAAAAGAATTTTTTTGTACAATGAGTGTTGATTACTTTTTTTTTTTTGAGAGAAGGTCTCATTATGTAGTTCTTATTTGGCCTTGAACTCAGAGATCTGCTTGCCTCTGCCTTTCCAGTGCTTGTGACTAAAGGAGTGCATCATCATGCCCAGGTCTATTAATTACTTTACAAAATGAATTTTAAGATGGATGGGTCTACCTCTTTTTACATCAAAACTCTTTGGATTGTATCTCACCACTGACAATCTTCACAACTTCTGGCAGTTAGAGTTAGGTGAAAATTATTCACAACTGTGTTATGGTAAGATAATGAAAGTGCCAGCAGCAGATCCTTTTAAATTTGATGACATAGAATTCCACTTGACAGACTTTACTCTCAAAAAGAATACAGTATATGTGGAAAGTATTTTAAAAATTTAATATATTTTTTTCTAAAATGTAAAAGAAAACAACTGGTCTAAATAGCTATGAGTTAAATATTACTTTAAGATAATTTTAAGAATTATATGACATAATGTGGTATCAATCTTCTTATGTGCTGGTCTACTCAAAACTTGAAATAGTACTTTCTACATTCACATAGGTAGCCAGCATTATCCAATTTTGCTAACTCATTTATGGTGTTTATAAAGTTATTTTTCTTATCAAAAATGGAAAATTAAGTGTTTAGGAATAACATGTAATGGAGGATGTCCTTCTGTATTCTGTGAATATATGTTTCTCTTATTGGTTGATAAATGAAGCTATTTTGGCCAATGGACAGGCAGGATGTAGCCAGGCAGGAAGAATAGGTGGGGCTACCGGTCTAGGAGGAGGCTGGGAAGATGGACTCAGAGAGCCTCTGGAGAGAAGCCATGTAGCTGCTGATGGAGTAACATGCCAAAGCATTACAGGTAAGCCACAGCCCCATGGCAATATATAGTTTAATAGAAATGGGTTAATAATTAAGAGAGAGCTAGTCAATAAGAAGCCCAAGCTATTGGCCAAACAGTTTATTATTAATATTAAGCCTCTGTGTGTTTATTTGGGACTAAATGGATTCAAGACTAACCAGGTGGGACAGAAACTCCATCTTCACATATGTGTATATATACACGTCTATATGAAAGAAAACATGGGTAATAAAGTTCAGGAAGGAGAGAAAGAGTAGGACAAGGGGTAGACACGGGTTTCACCATGGTAGGTAGTGGATTCAGGATGCAAAGCAACACATGCATGAATTGTAAATTATAAAATAATTGTTTTCAAGTTTAATAGTTACTTCTGGAGGAATATACATTCTAAATGTAAACATAATCCATGAAAAGGAGGCTAATAGGAATTGTCATTAGAACAATATAAATTAATCCATGAGATACTTCTGGGACTCTCTTAAGTGACTGGCAGTGATTGTATTTTGATGGTTGCTCACAAAGCTAATACACAAACAAGTTACATATGGTCTTGGAAATCCACCCATACCTATTTCCTAAGTAACTGGCTCACAGCAAGCATTTGAACATATATGTGAATGTCAAGTGTTTATCACAGATCTATTTACAGTAACCAAAAGCTGGAAATAATGTAGGGGACCACTAATGGATGAATAAACTGTGGTTTGAAAGAGTGAAGAGGCATGGGCTCTCTCTCGTGCTCTCTCTCTCTCCTATGCATGCACAAAGAAAGATACATACACAGGAATATTACTTAGAGAGATAAATGAATATCTGATATATACTAACCCACGAGTGAACCTTGAAAACACTGCTGTAAAACGTCAGTTATAAAAGAAGACTTATTGCTTGGTTCCACTTATAAGAATTATCTAAATGAATCAAATTTGTAAGACTGAAAGTAGATTCAAGTTATCAAGAGCTAGAAGTAGTATGGATTTCTCTGTGATGATGAAAACGGTTTTGGAAATGGCTAGTGCTAATAGTGGCACATTGGATATAATGGATCTGAAATATACCACATTATTAACTGTGAAACATACCAACTGTGAAATTGACCAACATTTTAATTTTTATTATATACATGTATTTTATAACATCAAAAATTAAAGACATATATTGCAAATTATTGAGCTGCATATCTTATTATTGTTTGTGTATGTGGGTATTCATGTATACAAGTCAGAGAAAAATTTCAAGTGCCATTCCTCAGGAAATCCTTCTAAGACAGAATTTCCCTCTGGCCTGGAACTTGCCAAATAGATGAGACTGGTAGGCTGAACAGTCTTAAGAATCTGTCTGATTCTGCTTCCCCAGTGCTGAGATTACAAGTATGCTACCAACCTGACTTTTTAAAAATGTGGGTTTGTGTGTGTGTGTGTGTGTGTGTGTGTGTGTGTGTGTGTGTGTGTGTGTGTGTGTAACTTATGTCTTCCAACTAAGCCATTTCCCCGTCCCATCTGTGCTGTCTTTAAATGTGTGTGCCAATTACACCCAGCTCCGAATAAAGAACTATTAATGACTGAGCTTTATAATAATTAAGTATATGCTGTGATATTTCTGAAGGGGAGTTGAAAATGGTGACAACCTCTCAAAAGGCTTTGGCTCAAACTGTGGAGGACTTCCTGTGTTTGGGTATAGATTTTTGTACTTTATTATTTGGGTTAGGAGCATAATTGTTAAACAGGACTGATACAATGCATACCATTTTAAGAAGACCTATTCAGTAACCAACCATCTGATTTTCATATTAGCATGCAAACAGGTAGGTCTGTTGTGTTAGACATTCAACAGTATTCTTGATATCAGATATACAGAGAGGCTGGATGGGGGGACAGGTAGGAAAATGTAAATACAACTTATCCTTTAGTTGGCAAAATATGTAAAGATATTAAAAGTATACTAACCATCTACTTTCCTTCTTCTAGAAATAGGCATTATTAACAAATAACAGAAACAGAGATCGAGAAGTAATGCTTACAAACAGCAAGCATTGTCTATTCATTTTAAAAAATGAGAATTTCTTTTTTTTTAGTACTAATTTTCATTACTAGCCCAACTAACAAGCATTATTTTGTTTTCAAGACTGCTAACTTAGAAACAAGAAAAATGCTTCTATACTAGAGATGTCACTGCTTCTTTTCTTTTTAAAGACTTACTATTTTCATTTTATATATGAATGCTTGCCCAAATGTATGCAAGAACATCACAGGTATGCTTGGTGCTGACAGAGGCCAGAAGAGAGCAGCAGATCTCCTAGAACTAGATTGATAGGTGGTTGTGAGCCACCAGATGGGTATTGGGGACTGAGCCTAGATCCTTTTTAAAGTGAAGCACTGAGCCATTTCTCTAGCTCTGAGCCCAGTTTCATAATCTATAGGTGCCAGTTCTACAGTGAGGCCACAATGAATCTGGGCATGATGAAGTAAAACGTTTTTTAATGTACAACAACCAAAAAATGATTCAAAGTTAACTGTGTAAAGAAACCCTCTCTGGTAGCTGCCTCCTGTGCTGCCTCATGGGACAACACTGCAGATTTGCTTCTGGATGTCTCACATGTGCATTCTTCACAGTGCATGCAGCCCCACAAACACATGATGCTCGAAAAACCTCATCTAAGATTTGAGATTGCTGTGCATTTGAAACACAAAGCTCTTACACAGTTTTGCTCTTATAGAAACATGATGTTTTAATTACAGAAACAAAGACTTTTTAATATTTTCCAACCATTCTTCTTTAGCATGTAAATATCAAAGCAGTGTATCTTTGGATTGTATAGTACACTAAACAAACCACTAAATGAATTCCTGAAATGTCCCTACTCATATTTCTATTATGCACTGTATTTTTATGTAACATGGTGTTCTCAGCAAACAAAATGTTGACCAATGATGAAAAATATTGAAGATATTCCATAGCCTGCAATATCAAACATTTAGCCAAGATTTAAATTTTTATTTTTAATTAAGTTTTAAAAATTACATTTTACTTATTATGTGTGTGTTGGGGGTATATATATGAAGTCAGAGGACAACTTGTAGGAATTGTTTCTCTCCTTCCACCATGTTGACCTCAGGAATTGAACTCAGGCTGTCAGGCTTGGTGGCAGCTACCATTACACTAATCCATCTTGCTGACACTAAAACTTAATTCTTTACATTATAATAAACAGATATATTCATCTGATTAGTATAAAAATTAGGTCTTCAGTTATCTTATTATAAGATTTACTTTTGTTTTAAATTTTTTTTAATGCTTGACTTGTATATCTATTTTATATACTTATATATCTGGAAATCACGTAAAATTTCTCCAGAGAAAGGGGCTGTAAAGAGTTTAGGAACTAAGTCTAGTGTTTGCAGTCTACCAAGAGAAGTCACAATTCAAACACACACACAGGTTCAAAGCCAACAATGCTTACAATGAAGAAAGTAGTTATAAACAACAACAGACATTACTGAGGACGTATATAATGCTAAATGCTACAGTAAATATAAAATACTTGTAAAAGTTAGAAAGCAAACTATATACAGTGTCTCATTACTACCGTGAATAATGTGAAAAGAAGCTAAAATATTTCCATCTCATCAGAATCCTATGGAACTTCTTAGATATAGACTTTCATGCAAGTACTACTGTTACATGAAAGCAAATTTTTGGTGTCAGAGTAACAACACTATACATCAAGTAATAAAAGCACCACTTGGTCGGGCAGTGGTGGTGCATGCCTTTAATCCCAACACTCGGGAGGCAGAGGCAAGTGGATCTCTGTGAGTTTGAGACCAAGCCTGGTCTACGGAGCGAGTTCCAGGACAGGCTCCAAAACAATACAGAGAAACCCTGTCTGGGAAAACCAAAAAAAAAAAAAAAAAAAAAAAAAAGCACCACTTGCTGATTTCTCAACACAAACGCTCACTGTAATACTCTATGACATGTACGGAAAAATATACAAAGTTAGCTTAATGAATGGATCAGTATAGTCTCAGTTTAGTTTTATCTAAGCCGATCTCTTCCTTAAAACAAAACAAAAAGCAACAAGAACAACAACAAAAAACAGAGTCTTGATCTGTCACCCAGATGAACCCAGAACTTGCCTTGAACCTGAACTCATGATATTCTGCTTCAGGTTTTTCAAGGCTAGGACACCAGGTGTGTACTAGCATACCAAACTATTGAAGCTAAGTCTTAATGAAACTTACCTCGCCTTCAGAGGGTAAAAAGAATTTTAGAAAGGAGCAGAAATACTTAACTTATTAGCCCTAAAAAAAGTATGGCTCTCTTTTGTGGCTAATCCAAACGCTACTTAACAGTTAGTTTTATGTAATAAGATGAATATTAAGTGCCTTACCTAGTAATCTCATCATCGCCAATCACTGCTTTAGAAATGGGTGAGTATCTGGCTGGTGACGCTGGTGTCTGGCCCAAGTAGGAAGATGGGCTAACATGGTTATCAACAGGCTGAGAAGAAGCTTCAAAATAAATTGAGAAATAGATAAAAAATGAAAGATGCCACTTAGTACCTCCACATGAACTTTAAAGTTAAAGTAGAATTCTTTTTGCTAGTTTGTGTAACAAAACTTAGTAGAGAACATTTGTTAGCTAAGAACAATGCATACGCTCAGTTTTTAGGTCAAAACTGGTTTTAGCACTGAGATCAATGAAGCTAATTTATTTCACTTTCATTCTTTTGAGAAAATACAACTACAATGGAGTTTTATATAAGCTGACTTACAAAATTAAATCCATGAAAGGTTAAAAACTGTCATAGAAAGGACTAAAATAATAGTAGTAAGATATATTATTTTCAATTTTATGTGTATGGGCAGCGCTTAGCCTACAAGTATGTTTGTGTACCACATGCATGCCTGCTGTCCACCAGAAGAGGACATCAGGTCCTCTAGGACTGGAGTTATGGGCTCTGAGCTGCCAGTGCTCTTAAGCACTGAGTTATCTCTCCAGCCCCTTTAAGTTTGTTGAATTATCTGAATCATTGCCAAAATACATAGAAAGCAATAAAGCATTTCAAAACTAACTGCAATGTATTAACATATTTATTATTAACCATTAGTTTTTCCTTTCACTGTACTACTAAGCATTTTCTACAAGTAAAGTTTACAAGTGAAGAGGCTATTAGTTTAAGCAACTAAACTCAATAAAAAAATGAAGGGATCTGAATGAAAGACAATGGGAAATGGTTGAATTGCATGGTATAATGAGTGCATACTCTACTAAAAAGGAAGCAGCATTTATATATGTCTCTATACTATACAAAAAGTTAAGAGTGTATGGTATCTCCTGGCAATATAACCAGTAGGAAGTTAAGGCCTACCAATCTGAGAGAAGCCAACCTGGAGTCTGCCTGACGCTGTCAGAAGTTCTACTCATGCCTAGTCAATGAAGGGTGACCACGCGATTATCAGCGGATTGGAACTCCTGGACGCTGGGAGGGTATATAAGGTTCTTCCTGTTGCTGAATAAATGAGTCTGCTGTTTCCCTTCAATCTGACTCTTGTGGTCTGTACTGTTGACTCTGCACCTTCTCACCCCCTTTCCGGAGGGAGCTGTTAGGACCCACGAACAATAACCCAGAGATCTAGTGTGTCTACTGATACCATGGGTGTGCAGAGCCTAACAGAAATCGTCTTCTTACTAGTTCCTAAGAGAATCTTTTATATGTTCATCAAAGTACTTCCTATCAATGGTTCTCAACTTTAAAGTCCAAAGTCTTTTCTGGGCGATATACATGTTTATTGATTTTTGATCCTCAAGTTTCTTTGCTATTATTATCATGTTTGTATGAAACAAAAATCCAAATGAACAATACCAACTGAAAAAGAAAAATTCTATTAAATATCAAATAAAAAAGATGTAACCTTTTCCTGCTTGACTCATGTAGTGAATACTTTTGAGCCTCTCACCTCACATATCAGTCTCTCAGACAGTAAGAACTAACTATTTTTATTCCTATCAATCAGTTAACCCAAAGAAAGATCAGGTAAAACAAATTATTTCTTAGATCTGAGATCTTATAAAACAAAATCCCACAGAGAAATGATGGAACAAAGGAATCCAATTTATTATCATGAAATATTAAAAACCAATGACCCAAGACCTCCAAAGTTTGGACAAAAAAAAAAAAAATAAAAAAAAAATAAAAAAAAAAAAAAAAGAAGAACTTGACGCAAAACTGAGAAGAGCCTGGGGTTAGAACCTGAGTGTCACAGAAGAGAAGGCAGAAAACGTTGCTATGATGATGAGCTCTGTCATTAGTAACAAGCATACTTTTATTCCTGTACACTGTATTTTGGTTACTTTTTTTTTTTTGGAGACACAGTTTCTCTGTGTAACCCTGGCTGCCCTAGAATGTGATCTGTAGACTAGGATTAAAGGTGTGCATCACTAAGTTAGAAGTATTGATTGTGCCTTGCCAATTTCTAAGGTTCATAAACAACTTCCATAACCTTCATTTTTTATTTTCTTCAGTACTCTTGCCAAAAGATTTTTTTCTGTCTAGTAAATCAACTGTTTGCTGATTTTGATAGCTGTTCACTTATATACTGCCTTTTCTAGAAAATTCCTTTCCCCTAGTCTTTACCTCCGAAGTCAAATGGGATCTATTCTCTTTTCTGCAGAGATAACAAATGATGGAAAACATGGACAGTCTCGTATTTACTGAATTCAGAATTAAAATCTTCCCAACAAAAAAATTCCGAGTTGAGAAGATGAATTTATTGATATACAGGATCAATACAATTTATCATGTTGACAGAATAAAGGAGAAAAATAACCTCTGCAAATAAAACATTTATTCATTTTAAAAACTGAAAAAAATAAACTTTACAAATCAGGAATAAAAATTAGCTTTCTTAACCTGATAATGGGAAACTACAGTCCTGGCGAGATGCTGTTTTCCTATACTGAGATTGTGGCAGTGATATATATTGTCTTTTCTTTTTAAAACTTAATTATTTTATGTGTATGGATGCCTTGCCAGCATGTATGCCTGGGTACCACGTGTGTGCCTGGTGCCTGCAGAGATCAGAAGAAGGTGTCAGGTCTCCTGGAACTGAAGTTACAGATAGTTGTGAGCCTGTGGGTGCAGGGAAATGAACCTGAGTCCTCCACAAAAGCAGTCAGTCATCTGAATTGCTGAGTCATCTGTCCACAAAAGCAGTCAGTCATCTGAATTGCTGAGTCATCTGTCCACAAAAGCAGTCAGTCATCTGAATTGCTGAGTCATCAGTCTAGCCTCTGTCATTCTTAACACTGACCTGGAGGTTATATCGGTCATCACACAAAGGAAACAAATGTTTAGAGAACAGAAAAAAAGATTGAATTTTATACATAAATCACATGGTTGAATCACAGACTTTTACAAAATAATCTAACGCACTTTTAATGAACTTAGCAATACTGACTATATAAAGAAGCCAGCCATGGCTTTTTTTTGCATATTAATGAAAACTAGAAACATTTAAAAAGCAGTATCATGTATAATAGACTGGGTATCAAGGCTATCAATATCTTGGACTACATGTAGCAAAAGCAATTATAAAATCTCTATTATACAGCTGGGTGTTGGTGGTGCATGCCTTTAATTCCAGCACTCAGGAGTTCTAGGCCAGCCTGGTCTACAGAGCGAGTTCCAGGACAGCCTCCAAAACAATACCAAAGAAACCCTGTCTCGAAAAAACCAAAAACCAAAAAACCAAAACAAAAAAAAACCTCTATTACACTATAAAGTGCTGGTCAAAGTAAAATTTAAAATATCTGTGTAATTAAGACAAAGATATCATACTTATGGATTAGGTGAAAGACTCAATTTTCAGCTCTTGCAAAACTGCACTGTAGTTTTCTATTCTTTTCTTTTTTGGTTGTTTCAGCCAGGGTATTGCTCTATAGCCAGGCTAGCTCTGAACTTGAAATCTTCCTGCCTCAACCTCTTAAGTACTGAGATTTCAGGTGTGAGAAACCAAGGTTGGCTGTATTTGTCTGAGTGTGTGTGTGTGTGTGTGTGTGTGTGTGTGTGTGTGCGCTCGCGCGCACGCCGCGCGCATGTAGAGTTCAGGAGTTGACACTAGGTTTCTTCCTCTACTTTACCACACCTCAGAGTTTAGGCTCACTGAACCTGGAGCTGGTCATTAGGCTGAACTCGCTGCAGCAGAATCCTGCTATCTCTGCTTTCCCCGCACTGAGGTTACGGACACAGGCTTCTATGTCTGGCTCTTCCTGCTGCTGAACTCAGATCCTCATGCTTGATAACGAACACATTCCCACTGAGCCATCTCCATAGCTCCAACATTGACTTTCATTCTAAAAATCACCAAAGAACTTCAAAGAAGACTCAAAAAAATCTTGAAAAATAAAGTCAAAAGACATACAAACAGAAATCAACATGTTGCCAAGAGGAGTGATAAATGTCAAAAGAGTCTAGAATTAGAACTATACATATATTCCCTTAATACCTATAAAATCAACAACATGACTCAGTGGTAAAGAATCATAATCTAAGAGGCAGACAGATCTCTCTCTCTGTGAGTCCTAGGTCAGACAGGGTTACATATGCTGTGGAATATTGTTTTAACTGGGCAAAGATGTGCTACATTTGATTGTGCTGCAGAGTATTACTTTAACTGTGTAAAGGTGTGTTACTTTTGTTTATGCTGCCTTTTTATGATGTAAGGATGTGCACTTAACTATGTAAAGTTGTATTGCATTTTGTTTCATCTAAGGCACTTGATTGGTCTAATAAAGAGCTGAATTGCCAACAGCTAGGCAGAGAAAGGAGAGGAAGAGAGACTACATAGGAGAAATCTAGGTTGGGAAGGAGGGAAGAGAAATGAGAGGAGGAGGAGAACAAGGAAGACACCTGGAGCAAGAAGCCAGGGAGATGACAGACAGACATAAAGTAAGCAGTGAGAGTAAGATATACAGAAGAAAGGTAAGAAGCCCTGAGGCAAAAGATAAACAGGTTAATTTAAGTTAAAGAGCTGGCCAGAAATGTGCCTAAGCTAAGCTGAGCATTCAAAACTAGTAAATCTCTGTGTCATGATTTGGGAGCTGGTTGGTGGCCCCAAAAGAAAAAACCTGGCACATACATATTGAAACCTTGTTTCAAAAAAAGTGGCTGTGCATGTTGTATTGCCTTTGTGCTAATATCTATGCTTCATATATAATATAACTTGCCTTGTCTTAGAAAACTGCATCCTCTAATCAGGAATTCTAGATATTTCATACAATGCCAAATAAAAATAAATACTTTGAGATTTATAAATTTAGACTCATTCACTACTGACAAACTTTGAAAATTCTTTTCTCAGGAAGCCAACAGAAATTAATTCCTGTCCTCTTAGTAGAAGGATGAGGATAGGTGTTTTAGGTACTTTCATTTCAAATTTCATAACTGGGTCTTACTATAAAATACTAAAAAGATATAAATGATACTTTTACATTGAAAGAAGGTAGTAAG